TGTCAATCCTCATGATTGCACTTGCAAAAGATAACAGGGGTTCACCCAAAAGTGATTTAGATAACTCGATCTGAACCCAAGAATGACTGACAATTCTGTCCGAGACTTATCATGGCTACAAAATTCTTCAAAATATATTGAAAAAACATACAAAAAAATAATGGTAAAAGAAAAATATACACAAAGACTGAACTAAAAGACTGTGAGACAACATGTGATCATTTAAAAAACTTAATGTAAGACTGACTTCTGTCCCCAGCGGCGGCAGCAGCAGACATGGCGTATCATCACATCCGCCCCCCCGTCGGATACTCCATCCCCAAACCCATCTCTGCCTTCCTGATGAGAGGCTGGAACGCCTGCCCCGAGGTAAAGGACACATTTCAACTCTTCTATGTGAGCTCTGGTTGCCGGAAAAAGTCTCTCAAAAAATGCACAATTAACTTACAGTACATGTAATACAGTAGCCCATAATATAGTGAGTGTCCACTCTGAGCCGTAATGTCCAGTGTATACTGAACTAGAGAGAGTTTGGTAGATGAAATCTTAAAAATAATCCAACCAGCATCTTGCAAGTCATTAGATATCAAGGCAGACTGATTCACTTTGATTCAATCATTTTGTTCAATTATAAGTCATAATGGAGGTTTTTATGGAGATATGTGAATTGGGACACTCTTACTGTATATACAATATCCAAAGCCTGAGAATAAAGGCGCAGACACTATACAGAAAGTATTTATTAAATATATCTATATAATCTATATCTAGATTTGGAGAGAGTTGATGTATTATACAGAAACATTTATAAGCTAAAAACGCCTTAAAGGTCACCTATTATGCAAAATCTACTTGTTCATGTCTCTTATACATCAACATGTGTCCCCTCTGTGTAAAGAGATTCTGAGAGTTTCAGGAAAAAAAGATTCTCTCTCCTTTTGTCCTGATCCATTTATATAAAAACCTGTCTGAAAATGAGCTGATCAGATTTTGGCCACTTTATGATGTCATAACGATTTTTTGGCTTGTGTAACCATTAGCCAATAGCCAACCAAGGTAACCCCCCCCCCCTCACCTTATCACCTGAATCTCCTCCTAGAGCACCAATAGCCGCGTTCACACCGGAGTACTTTTCACCGTACTTTTCGCGTTTAGTTCCGTTAGTACCCCTTATGTCGCGTTCACACCGGAGTACTTTTCACCGTACTTTTCACGTTTAGTTCCGTTAGTACCCCTTATGTCGCGTTCACACCAAAAAGAGCACTTAATCTCGGGAACTTTTACCCCCATTTTTAGTGCCTGCTGAGAGATCGTACTTTCCTGGGGGAAAAAAGTGCCCCAGTTCTGATTGGCTGGGCGAATTGCAAACCACGCCCCGTACAACTCTGAAATGTTTTGTAGAGCCGCCATTTTATTATCCTCGCATTAGCATTATTAGCATTAGCATTAGCCCAGCGCACAAACGCAGAGAGACTAACTTATGGCAACACAAAACAAAACATGGGAGCGGTGGAGATGAGGAGGTGTCGGCGTTCTGGCGATTTACTCGGAAGGCTTCAGTAGAAGCTGCTGGGAGTCCCAGCAGCTTCTACTGAAGCCAGTCCCCAACTCCGGGGACTTCCGGCCGGGGACTCCGGGTGAAGTTGTTTGCATACGCCGTGAAGTTGTTTGCTGCCTGCCAGTAAACCCAAAGCAGAAGAAGACGAAGTGACGTCAGCGGCTCATTTGCGTAATCATCCCTCAGGGAAAAGTACTCCGGTGTGAACACGATCTGTACTAAATGCCCTGGGGTCATAAGTGCCGGGGCTCTGAGTGCCGGCACTAAATACAGCAAAGTACTTGGTGTGAACGCGGCTATTGTGTTCTTTGTAACCAAATATCTCTCAGAGGGGCGTGGGGAGTGGCTCCTTATTTTCATCTAAAGTAACAGACAGAGAATCAGCACTTTTGAAACAGGGCTGAAACAGAGGGGATTATGGGATGCTGCAATGATCTGTTTGGTATTTGGAGCCAAATACTTCAGAGACATGTTTTGTATATATCTGAGACCTATAATATATTGATGAAAAACAGTACAATAGGTGACCTTTAAGGGGAGTTATAAAAGACTCTCACCTGTGTGTCCGTCTCTGCCCTGAGTGTTGATGCTCATGGCGTTCTTGCTCAAGAAGAACTTCACCATCTCCAGGTCTTTACCATATGTGCACGCACTGTAACACAACACATGGTCTCATCATCACCTCAGAGCAGCATGATTCACAGGTTGGAGAGGAAAGTGTGCCATATAGCATGCATTATGCACAGCAGGTGTTTGTAAACTAATTTAACGCTAATGGTGACATAACATTTAATAAGGCTCAGAGGGGGAACTGATGCTGAGTCAGCTGCAGTGTCCCTAGAGGATGCATTACATTACATTACATTGCATTTAGCTGACGCTTTTATCCAAAGCGACTTACAATAAGTGCATTCGACCAAGAAGATACAAACTTGAAGAAAACAGAATCATATAAGTACATCAGGTTTCATAGAGCCAAAACATTTCAAGTGCTACTCAACTGGCTTTAGATCAGCCAGTCCTTTATTAGTATAGAAGTGCTTTGTTAGAAATTCTATCGCTCGAAGTGGAGTCGAAAGAGATGAGTTTTTAGTCTGCGCCGGAAGATGTGTAAGCTTTCTGCTGTCCTGATGTCAATGGGGAGCTCATTCCACCATGTTGGAGCCAGGATAGCAAACCCACGTGTTTTTGCTGATAGGAACTTGGGTCCCCCTCGCAGTGCGGGTGCAGCGAGCCGTTTGGCCGATGCAGAGCGGAGTGCACGTGCTGGGGTGTATGGTTTATCATTACTGCACAGAGGTTCACTTTTAGCAGCACAGGATGATCCTCTCTCAGTGCTGCCATGCTCATTATTAGCCGCCATGTTTTTGTGTGCCTCATTAACACACATTATATCACAGCCGAAGGTGCTGCTCCCTGTGGCACGATCCCTTAGTTAGAAGACGCTCCTGCTGTGGTCCCAAATCTCAAAGACGTCACAAGGTCTAATGTCCTGGGGTTTGAGAGTGGGACATGCTGAGAAATATTTATCAAACCTATAAGGAGCCTATATTACAAAACTGCTCTCAGATTAACGCATATTTTCTCTGAAACTAGTTTAAATGGAAAGGACAAATTGTTCTTAATAGTTTAATAGAATCTCACCAAAATGATCATCAGACCTTTCTAGACTAGAGGTTTTCAAAGTGGAGGACAGGCTTCTCCATTAGGGCTCAGTGAATTAAAGTGAAAATATTATTATTAAATATTATAATATTAGTTAGATATCATTACATTACATGTCACTTGTTAGACGCTTTTATCCAAAGCGACTTACATACATTCAGTACTGTGGGTAATCCCCACAGGAGCAATTTGGGGTGAAGTGTCTTGCCCAGGGACACAACGACATGCTGACTGCAGTGGGACTGGAGCGCACTAAATTCAGCGCACTATTCCACTGAGCCACAGCCTCCCCTATCACATAGAAAAGCTTAAATGTGTGTGTTTTGGTGAGATAGTTCAGACATACAGTGGTTTGGGGAATTTTACAGATTTTCCCAGAGTTAAAAACAAATAAATTACTTTAAAAATATCTATATATTTGGTGTAGTCTGATGTTATGTCAAACAGCAATATTAGGCTATCTTGGCAGAGTTGTTATGTGTATATATGGGGTCAAATGGGATAACCATGATCCCATAGGCATCAAGGAATTCAGAGGAACTAAGTGGACTAAGAGGAGGCACCTTTTATTCATTTTAAACCATTACAATGCCGTGAAGGTTTTTTTTCTCCATAGAGCAGTAGATACTGGAGTAATGACAAATTATAAGCGAACAAACATAGGGGAAAAGCAATCACTAAAATCCCAATGAAAGCACTTTGAACACTTTGATTTGTTTTCATCTGTACTATATTGTATTCTGTGGTCTGTGATATTAAAGCAGACGGTCAGACCCTGTTTCTGAGGATGTGATGTATAATTGAACAGCTCTGGGGAGGCTCTGTTTGTTCTCCACAGCGAGGGAAAGATCTGAGGATCGCTTCTGAGGCAGAGCTCACCTTTGCTTCATGTGTGGGCGGACTAAAATACAGGACACACTGAGAGAACCCACGTGTGTGTGTCTGTGTGTTGGATACACACAATGCTTTTGATTGTTCAGCATTGAAACAGAAATATATTATAGTTTGCTTTTTTTCAAATTTCAGGACAGGCCTGAGTTCTCTGAAGTGGTTTCCAACCTGGAGGAATGCTTGTGCAACGTTGAGGTATATAAAAGATAATATAACAGACTGGCACTTGGACTTATTTACCCACCAGCCGTTAAAACCCTGATAAATATAAATGTATTTATTCTTAAATGGAGCAACTGTTACAAAATCCAATTTCCCCCTAGTAAAAAAGAAATTCTGATTACTATCCCACATTTTCCTGACTGTCCCCCTGTGTATCCCTGCAGTGTGTTATTTACTGTTGTTGTTGTTGTTGATCAGCTGATGTCCCCGGCCTCCAGTAACAGTAGCGGCTCCCTGTCTCCCTCCTCTTCCTCCGACTGCCTGCTGGGGCGCGGCGGCCCCGGGCGGAGTCAAGTCGCTGCGCTGAGGTCCCGCTTCGAGCTGGAGTACGCTCTCAACACTCGAGCCTACGCCATCTGGACCCAGAAGTGAGGAACTGAAGCTCCTCCACCCTCAGGGGGAGGTGGCGTGAATACTCTGCATACATGCCACTTTTAAACAAGTCAAGATTTTATCAGTTGAAGCTTTGCATTGACTTAGCATCCAATTTGTTTTTGGAGGTGAAGACAAAATAACTTCATGTTTCTTACAACACTAAACAACTGCTGTCTCTTCTCACTTTGGCTAGTTACATGACCCAATTTCCTTAAATATTGTCAATTTGTTTAAAAATAAACAAACATGAATCGGACCCTTTAATTTATTGGACCAATCAGTAAATGCAGTAAATGTGTTGGAGCGCAAATAGCAGCTCAAGTATGACATTTTGATGTCACTGTGTTACAGAAGTAAACATAGCTAAATCAAGGTGTTTCAGGCAGTTTTTCCGTGTGTTTAAATGTCTTCAAATTATTTAAAGTTGTTTATCATTTATATGATGAGAATGTGGATAGGCCTTAAATTGCCCTTAAAAAGTAGATTAAAAAACGTTTATAAAAAAATCTCACCAGAGAATATTTTTCAGCCTTACTCTCACTAACAGAAATTCCACAGCTAGCTTTAGTTTGGACAGTGGTGTCTTGGAGACGTCTCGCTCTGAGAAATTGTAATAGCAACATGTAGACCAGTTAACATAGTTACTGTAGCGGGGGGGATGGAGTTGCTCGGATACAGAAAAGGAAACAAAGGAAAGCCAATGCAATAAAACATGCATGGCTTTCTGACCGAGGCGCGCGCGTGTGTGTGTGTGTGTGTGTGTGTGTGTGTGTGTGTGTGTGTGTGTGTGTGTGTGTGTGTGTGTGTGTGTGTGTGTGTGTGTGTGTGTGTGTGTGTGTGTGTGTGTGTGTGTGTGTGTGTGTGTGTGTGTGTGTGTGTGTGTGTGTGTGTGTGTGTGTGTGTGTGTGTGTGTGTGTGTGTGTGTGTGTGTGTGTGTGTGTGTGCCAGGCAACAGTCACTATGAAGCCAGATACAGGAGCTTATTGTGGCAATTAAACCTTAGACAAGAACTTTCCATGTGTTTTCATCTTATGAAAGTTCAAATTCATCCTAATTTTAACAGTTGAACTTATAATAATGTACGACATGTTTGAATATTAAATGCTGATCAACAGTGTGCAGATTGTGTCTGCGGCGGCCAATCAAATCTGTCATGTATTTTTTATTCTGACCCCCTGCAGAGAAAGTGAGAGCAGCGTGGTATTAGATCGGACATTACATATTAAATTCCTCCAGCTTTTATCTGCCTCCATCTCATCTATCTTTCTCCATGTAAATGAAGCTGGATATATTTCTGGACTGGAGTTGCTTTGCGGTGGATTAATAAATAATTGCTGATTTTATTTTGCAGTGAGCAGCGCCGTGCATCTGGAGGTCTTTCACTGGAGGAACTCAGGAGGAACATGCAGTTTTCTCCCATCGATCGAAACGGTTTGTTTACAGAACACATGCACTGATAAAGTGGCAGTCATTGTTTTATATACCCCTCTCTATCAGTGGCACTTAAACCACAATATAAAGTACCAAAAGGTTCATTAAAAAATAAACAAATGAAATAGGACAGCAATCAAATTGACTTTTATAATATTTGTTGGGGACTATTTTCTGTGGCGGATGAACACAAATGTTGTACTCTAGTTAGTATGTCTGCTAGCTAGGACTATGTGGGATCACTCATTAACAATGGTGTCCATGCTTGTTTAAGAAGATCAATTCATTGTCATTTTGGGTCTTTTCAGTGAATTATTTCCATTCAGAACATATTATATTTCACAGACCTTAATATTTCTAAGATATTATTCATCATAAATGAAACTAACTATGAATAATGTGTCAGAGATGTCTTTATTTGTCTCTTTTCCAGGCTATGTGTCTGATCCCATGAGCACCATGAGGTTAAACTCCTCTTACAGCAGCAGTGGCAGCTTCGAGGACAGTAACTAATCCTTTTTATTATTACCTTACTATTTTAGACATTCATGCCTGTTTTTTATAGTTAATTTTAAGCAAAACCTCTAAACAAAGATGGTTAAAGTAGAAAATACTGTATTTCTATGTGCAAACTAAACTGTATTTTGTTGAGTTTCTTTGTGAGTTGACATTCTTAGCTCCAAATATCTCTAGTCTTGTGTTTTTTGAGATTTATCTGTTACATACATTATGTCATTATGTTTTTTTTTTTAAATCATTTGTTGACGATTTTTATAAATACTGTATGTGTGACAAGCAAAAACTGTACATTGTTTGTCTACTTGTTAGGTTCCCAGTTCATTTGTGCATATGTTCTTCATGTAAAAAATAAATAATCAGAAAGTCAGTATCAATCTCACCATTTTTATTTAAGCTTTCGTTCACTAACGGATATCAATCAAACACAAGAAGCCTCACAAACCCACGCTAGCCATACGGATCAAATGAAAAGGCAATATAAATAAATAAATATTTTCTTTTTAAATAAGAGGTAGTGTTAGCAGCTCTAATGACACAACTCAGCGCTGCTATATTTGACATTTCACAATGTTACCACTGCTTTATTCTTGGATCCTTGCTAGCTTAGGTTAGAATTCACGTTTTTTTGTCTAGATTTCAATTTAAGAAATATACACGTTGAAGCACGAAAACACAGTGCAATTACAGATCTCTAAGGAACTGTAACATCAGTGGAAATGTAAAGCCTAGCTGGAACAAACTAAGCTGTGGGAGACTAACAACGATCAATTATTGAGTCGTGTGTGAGTGGAAGAGTATCTGTTTACGGGTAATAAGTGATAGCAGCTGCACTTGATACGACGCCTCTTTGTTAGCGACAATAGGAAGAGATGCTCTATTGTAATCATTTCATGCAGCAGTCAAAACTCCTTATGCAGCGTCCTCTTTTTGGTTAGTGAAGGGTGAAGACTGTTTAAGAAGCCTTTGTGATGTAAACATAGAAGCCACAAGACACTTGAGGGCCTCGGACAAAACTAAAACCATCTCACGGGAAAACATAAAGAGTGCTGCACTATGTGAAGGAACTTGGAGTAGGTGATGTTGAAATAAAAAACAAGTGCTCTTCAAGAACAGGGCAAGTAGTCTAGTAAAAAACAAAAAAAAACACAGCTTACTTTTAATGGAAGTCAATGGTATATGTTGGCAATCTAAAAAGCATCCAAGGCACTCTGATTGTACGTTTAAAATACTTTAATTGTACAAAGCTAACCAACCATTTTATGATAAACAATTCTTAATTAGGATATAAAGATGTGAATTTTCAGACTGCCATCCAATACCAATGACTTCCATCCAAAGTAAGGTGGACAGTCACTGTTTTTATGAATGTATACTCTAAGACAAGCTTTTTTTTACCTTTGGGAACCACAGTATATTTCTTGGTCACTACAAATGGGGCGAAGCCTGCGAGCTAGTTCAGGCAGTTAACTCGAGTACCAATGATACATTAACACATTACATTACATTGCATTTAGCTGACGCTTTTATCCAAAGCGACTTACAATAAGTGCATTCGACCAGGAAGATACAAACTTGAAGAAAACAGAATCATATAAGTACATCAGGTTTCAAAGAGCCTAAACATTTCAAGTGCTATTCAAATGGCTTTAGATAAGCCAGTCCTTTATTAGGATATAAGTGCTTTGTTAGAAATTCTTTGTTAGTACTTCGAAGTGGAGTCGAAAGAGATGAGTTTTCAATCTGTGCCGGAAGATGTGTAAACTTTCTGCTGTCCTGATATCAATGGGGAGCTCATTCTATCATTTTGGAGCACGTCACGCACCTCGTCTCTCTTACAACCAACCAAACACATTCTCCTTAACTTGCCGCTCTATTTAAGCTGCCAGGTCTTCCTGCCTCTGCCTCCTTAATGCTGCTGCTGCCACTGCTGTGTTCACTTGCTGCTGCTGCAAGTCATGTTGCTGCTGCTCGCCTGCCCCACCACCACCCCAGCTTCCACCCCAGCTTCCACCCCAGCTTCCACCCCAGCTTCCACCCCAGCTTCCACCCCAGCTTCCACCCCAGCTTCCACCCCAGCTTCCACCCCAGCTTCCACCTGTAGGCTCCGGGGATAGTTATCTAATCATCACTCAATGTTCTATGTACATCTGTGGAGTGATGAGGCCCGAGCCTAGACGCCAAACTCAACTATATGCTGCTTCTAATAAACATATTAAGAAACACGTGAGTTGTCTGACTGAAATGTCTCTTTTTCTAAGTGTAGCCATCTGATTGTCTAATTCCTCTCTTTTTTGATATTCACTTTTGATCATTTGCTTTTGATACATTATCCTGTAAACTAAAGAACAAACTATTAAAGCCTCACTGTACCTTGGAGCCGCTCTAATGTCCGCTCTCTGTCCTCGCAGCGGTCAGCAGAGGATATGAACTTCTACTGAACATGGTTTCATCCACCGAGAACGTGCTGAGTCGGTCTTTACTCAGCGTGTGTTTGATGTCCTCGATCATCTGCACGTCTCTTCGGTCTCCGTTGATGCTCCCGTCTGACGGTTGGGGGTCAATGTCTTTCCGTTGGGTCTCCTCTTGACTTCCATCGTCGGACTTGGACGTTGTGAAATCGGTTATTTCTTGAACTTCTCGACTTTGTTCACTTGTTTCCAGAGTTTCTTCGGTATCATTTGCCTTCAACTTGGAAAGCCCTTCAGGCATCGTTGAACATTCGCCCTGCTCTTCTGTCTTGGATAAAGGTAGAAGACCTTTCTCCTCTTCATTCAACTCTGGACTACTTTTCTCCTCCCCCTCAGGTCTGCCGCTCGTTACTGAATGCTGAGTCCCTGATAGGCTTTCCACTTCAGTTTTGGAAACATCAGTTTGCTCAGTGTCATCCTGCATTAAACCTTCTTGCACTTTATCAAGAGATCGCCTACTTCCTTGTTGGTCCTCTGACCTCATATCTTGCTCTTTCACAGACTCTTTATCACTCTCTGGCTTTACTAAAAAGTCCTTTACTTCAGTCTCCTCCACTTGCTCAGAGTCTTCCTCACTCTGTTCTCCAGCTTCAGATTGAGGTTCCTCTTTGCTTGTATCCCTTTCCTCATTTACACGTTGAGATATCTCTGCCATCACAAGTGGACTCTCTGCTCTGGTCTGTTCTGTAGATTGTGTTTCCTCTTCGTTAGCGTTAAGTTGAGCGTCTGGCGATTCCTTTAAGTCTTCTAACGGTTCAACAAACGTCTCAAAGCACTTGGATGTTTGATGCTTGGTTACCCAGTTGGTGACCATCTCTGCGTTGTTCTCTCTTGTTAGTACTTCTGGACTTTCTTTAACTTCTGCTACGCTCTCCTCTGTGTTGTCATTGTTTTGTGTCGGGGACTGTGTTTGAGGTTGGAGCAGCACGCTGGCTCCTTCCTCCGAGGCCTTGCTCGCCTCCTCCGTGTCTGCTCCGTTTTCTCCGTCAGTTGCAGAGTGATCAGCAGGATTTTCTCCCGTGTGTTTTTCAGTGTTAGAGTCAGGCTGTGCAGTGGGTACCTCTGACTTCTGAGCTGTATCGAAATCCACAGCTGTGTGTGTTGGAGATTGTGCCTGGTCACCTGACGAAGCAACCATCACCTCACTGACATGACTCGACACATTATCGCTCTTTTTCATCAACTCGGAATCTCTGTTTTCACTGTCGGGCTCAGATACATTTCCATTTTCATCTTGTTTTGATCCCTCGTCGTCGTTTCTCTCGTCTGATTTCGATTCATCCTTTGCTTCCATGCCAGATGTGTCCGGGTCGTCGTTTTGAGTGGATTCCTCTTGCTTTTCGACACTGTCATCTGCTGCCTTAGCCTCAGTTTGTGCCACATCAGGAGCTTTGTCGACTTCACGTTTTTCAGCGTCATCTTCAGACTTCACAGTTACTTCCTCCCCCCCCTGTGCTCTCCCCCTCTGTGGGCTCCCCCCCTGTGCTCTCCCCCTCTGTGGGCTCCTCTGTGCTCTCCCCCTCTGTGAGCTCCTCTGCCTTTGTCTCAGTATTCTCGTCTCTTTTCACGTCATTTTTGCCGTCAGTTTGAACCTCTCCTTCTCCCTCCTGAGTTTTATTCTCAGTTGACATCTCTCCATTTTCAACGTCAACTTCTCCCTTCTCCATGCTGTCATTTACTTCTTCAGTTTCTTTTTCAACCTCCTCAGACTCCATTACGTTGTTTGAAGTCTCTTCAGTCGTTTCAGTCCCCTGTGCTACATTTTCTGCTTCACTATCCTCGACATCCTCTGACTCGACAATATTATCATCTGATATTTTTGCATTATCTTTATCCAAGTCGGCACCTGCACTTTTCTCAGATTCCTCCATGATCTCAGACATCTTTTCTTCTCTGTCTGGAGTCTCTGGAAGTTCTTCTCTGTCTGGAGTCTCTGGAAGTTCTTCTCTGTCTGGAGTCTTATCAGCGTCCTCCTGTTTCTCTTCAGATCCTTCCACATCTTTATCCTTCTCAGATTTGTCATCGATATGATATTTCTCTTCATCATCCTTTCCCCCACCAGCTGCTGTGTTCACCTTTTCACTCTCAATAGCTGTATCAGTTTCATCTCCCTTTTCCTCTGATTCTTCCTCATCCTTTCCCCCACCATCTGCCGTGTTCACCTTTTCACTCTCAATAGTTTCATCTCCCTTTTCCTCTGATTCATCTTCTGCCTTCTCTTCATTTGCAACTTCATCTTCCTCACTTTGGCATTTCTCTGCCTGTTCTTCATTTGCATTTCCTTCATCCTTAAAGTCAACTTCAGTCCGCTCTGAAATAATTCCCTCCTTTTCTATCCTTTCTTCCGTCTTACTCTCATCATCCTCCTCTTCTTCAACCCCGTCTTTACTCTCCTCTACTGCTTCTTTAATATCATCTTTACTACTTTCATCTTTAGAATTCTCCTCACTTAAATATGCACTTTTTTCCACTGTGGTGTCTCCGCTGCCCTCCATGGAGCTGCTTGAGTTCTCCGCTGTGCCTTCAGTCTCTGCGTCCTCGCTGCCTCCTTGCTGCCTCGTCTCTGTGTGGGTTACAGGTGCCTCTTCACAGCTGAGGGCCTCTCGCTCCTCTGAGGGCTCTGCTTTCATCTCCTTTGTCTCGCTGGCTGTCATCGCCTCTGCATCATCAGGCGCTGCTGTCTCATCAGGGATTTGATTCGGCTCTGATACCGATGACTCATCCTCCTCGCTGCTTTTTGCCCCGTGTCCTGTCTCGTCGAGCTGCGTGTCCACCTCCACTTCATTTTCCTCCTCGGTTTCTTTGTCTTTCTCTAGAGCCTCCTCATTGGCTGATTTAGCTGATTCTTGATGTCCTGAAGTCTTGTCTTCCTCAGCCAATTCCTCGTCAGATACAGGATGCAGAGCTGGAGCTGCATCTTCTGCCTCCTCTGATTTATCATTCTCTGTGTTTTTGTCCTTTTCATTTTCCTCTTCGATTTTCACATCTTTAGGAACATCTTTGTTCTCCTGGGGTTCCTGTTCAGATTCTTCCTCTTGTTCTTTTGGGTCAGACGTCTCTTGTACTTCTTCAGCTTCACTAGCAACCTCTTCCTCACATGTTGTCTCCTCCACAACGGCCTGTAGCTCTTCTGTCAAGGTGGTAGATTTCACTGCAACTGCATCTGAGAACACAATGCAGAGATTGTTTAGGGATGTTTTTATTTTGCTGCAGAAGGGGTCTGATGTATTTGAATTAGAATGTAGGGTACCACTTTACAACAAGGCTAGTAAACGAATAGTTTGTAATTCATTTATTAATTAGGTTGTGAACACTTTATAAATCATTAATAAGCTTTTATAAGACATGAGATAAACAGGGCAACTGTCACCGGTTGCTTGCCAAATAGTGAGCCCACATTTATCTGTACTGCTAAGCCTTATTAGAAATGGTAGTAAGTCATTAATAAATGGTGATTTGTTTCACACTTTACAACAAGCCTCCCTTTTGGCAACTATAAATGTTAGTAACTCGTAATTAAATGGTCATAAAGAGATGCCAAGAAACATCAAGATGGAAGGGGGGGAGAATCAACTCGGTGAACAACAGATACCAAGGATGCTGGCTGATGAAGAAGACGAAGTAAGCTAGGTAGCCAATATAAGGCTTAGTCATTTTGCCAAATAGTGAGCCTGTGTTGATGTATGAAAACTATGTGAGAACTGGTTTATAAATGGTTATTTACAACCTAATTCATGACCTAATTATAAACCCTTTATCAATCCTTTATAAGGATAGTCTTATTGTAAAGTGGTCCCGAATGGGATCTGGTACCCTTGCTGTCCGGTTCAGGGCCTTTCTCTGAGGACTCCTCCTCCTCCTCGGTGCTGGTGTCGCTCAGCTCGGGCTCGGAGCTGCACTGGGACTCCTTCAGGATGGCTGCTGCCAACTTCTCCTGCACAGATTTAGCTTAGGAGAGAAAAAGAGACATGGCACACACAGGGATATAAGAGCATGTTACAAGCTAAGGATAAACTATTGTGAGCACTCATAGTGACGATGTCAGAATGTTTTAAGGTACAGAATAAATAAGTATTTGAATAATGCAAAAGGAATGAGAGAAATAAGCCAACAAATAGACGTGTAGCCAATAACACCAGAATGTCTTTAATCTTTCCAATTGTAAAACAGAACATGCAAAAATAATATTCAACGTGCACAGAAAAACAACGCACAAACATTCAGTACACAACCAAAATGGAAACACAATGTCTTAAAACATATATATTTTAAACTATTTTATGTACATTTTAGGATATGAACTCATAGGATTGCACTTTTGGAGCACACTTTGGTTGGAAAATCCTATAATTCTGTTTAATACTACATTTACTGAACATATGAGTTTGATATTTACAGCCATTACCATAAAGAATGCTGCTAGTAAGGCAAACATCTGCACATTTTGAAACTTGTGCAATATGAAATGTGTGTGTTTTTCCATCAGTGGCAGCTTTCACCTCCTCTCTGATTGCATGTTGACCCCCACAGAGTCCTCCCTTTGTTTTTTAAGCTATATACTGTATTAGGGATGGGAACGATTCATCGAATATTCGAAATTATTCAGGTCTTCGAATATGAGAATATGAGTTATGAATATTTTTTTATTTTTTTTGGGAGGGTTGCCTAAGTTGATTACATATGATCAAATGGAATAATTCAATGTATACGACAGTGCCATAGCTAAGTGTGTTAGGTCTAAAGGTGTGTTTTGCTCCGCTCACCGGTCCCTCACAGCGGGCAGAGCTGCAGGTGCTGATCTCTCTCTCTCTCGCGTCCGGTTATACTTCACTCGCGTTTATGTTCAAATCCATCAGATCTAGCTAGTTCTAGCTAATGATATGGCTGCTGCCCCTCCCTACACGCAGATCACGCAGACTCAAACCTCATCTTATGCCCAAATTCCAGCTGAGAGGGTCTTCTCTACAGCTGGCCTGATTGTGAATCGCCTCCGCACCCACCTCTCCCCTGAGTAGACATGCTCATATTCTTAAACAAGAATGAGTATTGAATAGCTGCATTCTGTGCATAGGCCCTGTTATAGGTTGTTGATCTCTGTTGTAATAGGGTTACCCTAACCCGTTATGTTGTTCGTGTAGTACCCCCCAAAACCAAGTTATGTTTTAAGCATGAAAGCTGTAGGCCTATAGCTGTCAACTGTTCAAACTGTGATCACCAGTTCAACAGCTAGTCCAAAACGCTGCTGCACGTTTGCTGACTGGCCACAAAAAGCGTGACCACATCACCCCTATTCTGGCCTCACTACACTGGCTTCCAGTTCGGTTCAGAATTGATTTAAAAATCCTTTTATTTGTTTTTAAAGCACTAAATGGGCTGGCTCCGGCCTATATAGCTGAACTGCTCCAGCGCTACACCCCAGCCAGAGCTTTAAGGTCTGCTGACCAGCTGCTGCTGATAGTGTCCAAGACCAGGCTCAAAACCAGAGGGCACCGAGCCTTCGCAGCAGCTGGCCCGAGGCTCTGGAACACTCTGCCCCTCCATGTGAGGTCGGCCCAGACCCTAGGGGTTTTTAAATCTAAACTAAAAACACACTTCTTCTCTCTGGCTTTCTAGTTAGAGCGGAGCACGACTCCTGACTTTTCCCTGTGTTTTATTTTTATTTTGTTTTTAAGATATATCTGTTGTAATTTATTGTCGTTTATTGTGATTTGTAGTAATGTGTTTTTTATTACATGTACAGCACTTTGGCTCGACCAAAAATCGCTTTTAAATGTGCTATATAAATAAAACCTGATTTGATTTGATTACATTTTTTTATAGGATATGTACATTTCGGTTAACCGTTTTTTTGGGGGTCGAATATTCGAATATACATTTGCGTTCAAATTCCCATCCCTATACTGTATATGAATTCTAATTCTAACCCTTTATGTCACATAATTTGAGCTTGAACCATATCTACAAATGCAAGCAGAAGTATTGAAACGCATGTAAAAAAGCTAACAGAAGTGGTAACTGGGTAAAGATGTAACCCAGAGTGATACAAAAAAAAAAGCAACCAAACAAATGAACATTAAAAAGTGGAACATACAGAAAATCACACAGAAATCACACAGAAACAAAAGACAAGTCATTTTTCCACCATCTCATTTCACAACAACGTCATTATGTTACTTTAAATCTCACAACATGACAATACTGTGATAGTTATTTGGCTGTTGTCAGTCTACGGTAAATAGAGCGATACATGAATGACTGGTTGAGATAACAGTGGAAAAACCTCCATAAAAGATGGACTGGTCCAATTCCTCACTCCAGAGTCAGATGTGTTCACACTCACCCCTCTCCTGCTCCTGCTCCGCTTTGCTCTCATCTACCATTTTCTCCACGTCTTTTTCTGCTGAGATTTCTTCACTTTGTTGATTCTCATTGGCCGAGGGGACACTTGTTTCACACACTTCTATCTCGGTACTGTCCCCCGCAGTGTCCTGGTTGTCCGAGTCTTCAGGCGCAGCCGGTATGGCCTCAGTGGCAGCTTCTAGTGGAACAGCACTTTCCTCCGGGTGGACTTCTTGAATGTGTTCTGCTTTCTCGTCCTCTTTGGTGACTTCAGCATCGCTCTCTTCCTGCTCACTGTCTGAGGAGCTGGAGCCTGAAGCTGACTTTATGTCATCTGTGCAACAAAGATGGAGCATTTCATATTATTTTACACAAAAACAACACTTTCTTAACGTCCATTTTATACTGTTAATACATAGAAGTAGCAGTTTTTCCTCAAATAGCGAAGATGTTTTTCTTGCTGACATTTTTAATTTATGTTTATAAAGCATTTCATCTAAATCTAGGTTCTACATGTTAACCAGAGATATGTGTTTTCCTCTAGAGATACAGAGTGATTCTGTTTTGCTTTATGAAAAGAAAGAGTAAATAATGCTTGGTGAAATATCACTTTACTCCCAGTTACTTTTCTTTATCTTAAAAGATGTGTTTGAACATGATGTTTCGCCCACCTTCCTTCTCGTCGTCCTCAGTCTCAGAGGTGTCTCCCTCTAAAGCCCGACTTTCAGTTTCTTGAGAAGGAGATGGGGATTTCTTCACTTTTACTTCAGCATCTTCTACAGGGCCTTCGTCATCTGCTTCAAAGTCTTCCTCATAATCTGAAGAGGAAGAAAATGCTTTGAGAGTCACTGTATAGAATAGAAGAAATAGAAGTATTTATTTCTTATTGGTTTCATCCGTACCATCTCTGACTTTGTCCTCCTCCGCCGCTGTTTCCTCTTTGACTTCAGTCTCCATGTCCTGAGGTCGGCTGGTTTCACACTCTGACTCGTTGTCTACAGTCCTCTCTGTCTCCTTCACAGGGGGCTCCTTCAGGCTGGACACTGACTCCTGTCTTACTCCATCATCTTTGACTCTCTTTGGTGGAGGAGTGGGCTTCTTGTCCAGTCCCATTGCTATGATGCACCTGAAGAAGTTAGCGTTGCACACTATAAACAGTCAGTTGAGGAATTTGTCAATATTTTGAAAGATGTTCAAGTTAACATCAAGTTTAAAGGACACAGTTGGTGTTTTTCTGGCCATCTGACAAATGGAGGAGCACATTTTACCTTAATGATAGCTCTGTTTTTTTATATTCAACCACAATTGAGGTTAATATCTGTCTGTTTAGCTGACAAATGCTGCTTTTTTTAAACAACTTCCATGTCATGTGACCCATTGACTACAGTCAGAATTGTAGGGCAGAATTGTATTACTACACTGAACCAGTACAATTGGGTTTTGGGGCTTCTTTACCCACAATGCAACTTGACCTATGACACTTCAGTAAGGGAGTTCGGTGTGTGTTATCATACTATGTGCAATATGTGCTATATGTGCAATATATACATTACATTATATACATAAGCCATTAATAACTGTGTAATATATACCTGGCTGCTAAATCCTAAGAACTGTTACAGGATTTGTATTTTGGAAAGTATTTTTTATTTTACTTTTCTTTTTTATATTATATTTTTTCTATTATATCATAACTTAGTACTTTTTTCTTAACATAGGTAACATTAAGCTGTCTGTGGCTCTTTCCTGCTGTAACGATGCAAATTTCCCCTCTGTGGGACTAATAAAGGTATTCTGATTCTGATTCTGATTCTGATTATGTTACTAGCGGCTTATTTAATTTCTTGTACTTTTGGAGTCACAAAGGCCTTATCATAACTGTATCACAAATTGAGTTGACGGTGTGCCTGTTAAAAGAGAGACCCTACTTGTAGCACGGAGAAGCCCCCTCCACTCCGCAGAAGCCAAAGTGTCCGTGCCTGCCGCCCAGTCGTGAGCCCTTCCTGTGTTTGAACTCGCAGCAGGAGCTGAGTCGCTCCACCTGCAGCCCGTTCAGGAAGAAGGTCAAGCTGAAGGGGAAACCTCGGTGCCGCCTGGAAATGAACTGGAAAGTCTCTGAGGGAGAGATTGAGGATGTGGATGAGAGGAAGGAACATTTTCAACATCAAAATATGTGACTTCTGTGTAGCAGGAACAACCAAAACACATCTTAAACTCAGTGAGAATGGATACTCAACTAAATGAAAGATACAGAAACAATACATTTAAAGTTATTCCATGGAGTTGCTGACCCCATAGTGGAGTTACTGACCCCATAGTGGAGTTAGTCTGTTTGCCTAAAGGCTGTACACACAGACTGTATGTTATCTATATGACCTCCCTCATGAGATTTGCTCTTATGTGTGAACACGAACACACTTATCTAACACATACACTGACCTCCCTCTCGTAGCTTGCCCTTGTAAACACACAGGTTCTCTCCTCCACAGTGCTGCTGAAACACTTTGACCTCATCCCTCATGTCGGTCAGGTCATGAGAGAGATGCACCGTTTTGCCAAAGTACATCATGTTCACACGCACTCTGCTCTGGAGCACAGAGCTCCTCAGCATGGGGGGGTCCTGGATGGGAGAAAAGGGCAGGTTGGGATCAGTTAACGACATCATACTTACTCAGTGGACAATTAAATACATTTAAGTCAGTAAGAGATTCCTTATGTTGTTAAATTATTACTTTTGATTTGAATGAATTGGATTTTCTTTGCAGCCTTACTGTCTTAACAATAGTCTGTGACTAGAGGTGAAGGAAAATAAAAAGCTCAAGGTCCCTGTATGCTGTTCTGTATTGATTATATATTGGCAAATTAAGCTTATAGTTAGGGCTGATTAGATTCAGCCCCTAGTTTTGCTGCTATAGGCTTAGACTGTCGGGGGACACCTTACTTCTTCCTTCTCTCTGTCTGTACCGGTGTACTCTCATGTTCCCAATAACCCAGCTTCCCCCAAATTTATTTTTGGTGTATATCTACGCTGGGATCCTGAGTCGTGGCTGATCCTGAGTCCTGAGTCCTGAGTCCAGGACTTCGAGTCGTGGCTGAACCTGTCACTGCGGTCCTGCCTGACTTTCATCATACTACTTCCCTGATGGCTCCCACAGGATTGTTGACATCCTCGTGGATTCATCTTCTTATTATAGACACATGCATTTCCAAACATTTGGTCTACCTATGTTGTACATTTATTATCTTTTTGATTTACACACGGCATCTATTGCACGTCTGTCCGTCCTGGGAGAGGGATCCCTCCTCTGTTGCTCTCCCCGAGGTTTCTCCCATGTTCCCCTTTAAACTGTGGGGTTTCTTTGGAAGTGTTTCCTTGTACGATGTGAGGGTCCAAGGACAGAGGGTGTCGTAATGTCATACTGATATTCTGTACAAACTGTGAAGTCCACGGAGACAAATGTAACATTTGTGATATTGGGCTATATAAATAAACATTGATTGATTGATGTTAGACATACAGAATAAAGATAATCACGGACAAATACATTGTAAACATAAAATAGAGAATACTGCTAGGTCTTGCAAAAATCGAATTAACCCAAAGGGGCTGTTAGTTTGTTGAGGAAGGTGTTGTTGCCGGGGAAAACGTAACAAGAGACAAAGACCTCGTAGGCGTCCACTCCGCTGGAGGCGGTGGTGGGACGCAGTCTGCGGCCTCGGAGCGTGCCGCTGGGAGTGACCTTCACCCCCCTCTCTCTCCTCTTCGTGGAGGGAGGCACCGGGGTGACGAAGTTGTTGATGACGGGGAGGCAGTAGGGTGAGATGCCACGGGGGGGCTCGGCTGTGGTCCGATGTCTCCGGGACTCCTAGTCGAAAGGTAGAAAGGTTTAGTGTGTGCTGTTGTTGCAGCAGAGCAATGACAATGTCTGTGTATGTGTTTGTAAAGCAGACAAAGGCTTAACAGAGAGGAGTTTGTCCTAAGCTACGTTCACACTTTGTTTAGTAAAGAAAAGTAATGTGGCTTTCTGGTATTAGCACAAACAATTTTACTGAGCCTGTAGGCACTAGTACAATATGTGTATGATACAACTCTATTTTGTATCTTTTATCACTCAATGTGCAACTGCAAGAGTTCTGAAACTAGTTTCCAAAGACAGGTGATATTGATCTAGAATCTGATTTTGTCCATACAGGAAAACTGTCATGCAAACTCTCTATGCAGGAAGGCAGATGAATGGGTGAAGGAATGAACGGGTCTCATGTGTCGCGGCCTCACAGTGCTGTTGAGCGTCTGCTCGTTCTCATTGGACGACTCCAGCAGTCGGTAAGGGGAGCTGCGTCTGAGCGAGGCTGTGGTGCTGTTGCTGCCGATCGGCTTCAGACGCACCGGCCGCTGCATCTTCCCCGGAGCCGTGTTGGGTCGAGACGAGCCCGGCTGCAGCACCGTGACACACGCGCACGCGCACACACACACACACACACACACACACACACACACACACACACACACACACACACACACACACACACACACACACACACACACACACACACACACACACACCACACACACACACACACACACACACACACACACACACACACACACCACACACACACACACACACACACACACACACACACACACACACACACACACACACACACACACACACACACACACACACACAGTGTAAATGTAGTTTAATGCGCTGGATAGAAACTTGTACATTCAAGAAAGTCCTTAGAGTAGAATTATGTTTGATTTGCTGCTCCAGTAAAACTAATAGTGTAAATTAAACATACACAATTAGGAGCATCCCGTGTTTGAGGCCAGCATAATGGAAGGAATAATGCTGTTGATTACATATATCAATTTTTTGATAACAATGTCACCCTAAGGTGCACTTAGTACTTGTTTTGGAGTTTTCCATCATTTGGTTTTTCAATGTTAGGTGCCTTATGCAGCTTATTTGCATTTATGTTTGCAATTATATTTTATTCTTCTCATTAATCTTTGCTACAGAGAATGAATGGTATGTGTTGGAGGCAAGCAGAACAGGAGGAAGAGTCGTTTTAATTATTCTACATTTGGTATTCCTCATATCAAATACACCCGTATATTTTACCTTTATTTTTCATACCATACATAATTCTACAGTGTGCGTAGGTCGTACACCATCTAATATATTGTTACACCTTGTTGTGGTATATTGATTTCATGTAATCTGCTCTTTTGTTAATTTTATACTGCATACACTTATTTCTATGCTGATAAAGAAATGTTACAAGAGTGTGCAAATGCAAATTAATCTTTGACATGTACCGCCAACATTTGACTGTGCATGTATTGCAAACAAGCCTGTACCTGCTGAAGTGTGCCATGTTTGCACACTTAATACTGGGATTTCAAAAGGTAAACACAGAGATCAAGGGCAGGATTACCAGCTCTATTTACTCTGGCCTCAAAGTCTGTGACTTCTTACATTTCAAAGATAACGCACTTCAAATCCCACTGCTTCACGTTAACCTGTCTGCACACACAGCCACAGAAGCTGATACAGCTCCTCTAAACATGCCGACGGAGAAATGATTTTCTTAACAGACAGACATGCTTTACCAGAAATAATGCCTTGGACATAGAAACCACTCAACTGTGCCTGAGTTTGAGTGTTTAAAACAGATTTAATGTTTTGTTTTCTAAATGAAATTGGGGCTTTTTAGCTCAAGGGATGTTGCATTATAGCAGGGCTATTCAATTAGTTTGGAATGGGGGCCGGTTGATGAAAATTATCCAAAGCAAGGGGCCGGGAAAAAGATTGCTTGAAATATGAGCAATCATATTAAGAGCTTCAGATTCAGTAAATACTACAACAGCATAGTGGAGTGCATATATTGTGTTTAATTCAATCAAACAACATAGCCCCAAGGCCTTTATAGCTCTAAATGGCAAGTTCAGAACTCAGTAGTGTTTACATGTGAAGCTAATTTAACCATCAACATCATTTCATTTGATTTAATTTAGGTGAAATTATCTAATCATTCACGAAGAGATGCAATCAATGACAGGAGTTGTCAGCTAGTAGCTAGTAGGTGGGTTCGAAACCCGAGCCCGCCGAAGTTTTCAAGCAATGTCTTCCCCTCTATCTCTCAATGTACAGTAACACCCTCTCTGGCAGTGGCGGCGCCAGAGTATCTTTGTTGGGTAATCTATGGTAGGGCTAACCCATACAGTGGTGGGGCTCAAGTCAGTATTCTCAATGTAATTACATACACGCTATATCGCCCCCCTTGACAGTGAAACGCCACGCGTGAGGTCTAGATTATTTCCCTGTCTCAATCAAAATGGAACTGTATGAAATAAAACGGCACATTTGTCTTGTAGTAAATAAAAAGGGATCACTGTGAACGTGACGTATGAAAGTACACGTTGAAGATCCAATGGGGATACTGAATGGCGGTTCCGATTGATCTCAATCAGTAAGGCATGACGCAGACCCAACGTTTCGTTGCTCTGATTGGCTGTAGGTCTATTCAAATTGCATTCAGAGGCATTTTGATCTGACCGCGGCTGATATTATAACGCCAGAGAATTTCCACACCTTTAGTGTATAAAACTCCCCCACTACTTAGACTATTCCTTGCACCCCTCTTCTAGCATAAGCCCGAATGGTCTCAACCATATTGCATCAGTAACGTGCACTTGTTGTTACAGCAGGATCAGTTTGTGTGTTGTGGACACGACCCGTATATTTTCGCAAGCCGTGTTCTCAACATTTAGCATTTTGCTTATTATTTAATTTAATTTCCTTATTTTAACATCATTTTTCATGGTGGGGCTAAGGTGGGGCTAAGCCATTTCTTGGTATGGCTATAGCCTACCCCAGCCATACCCTGGCACCGCCACTGCTCTCTGGAATAAAGGCACTCTGGCCCAAAACAAAATCTTTAAAAAAAGAAATCTTTAAAAAATCTTTTTAAAAGAAGTAGATAACTTTTTAACATTATACTCAAAGGGCCAGTAAATATCACCCCTTGGCCGGATTTGGCCCGCGGGCCGCCAATTGAATAGCCCTGCATTATAGTGTTAAAAATAAACTGAATCAAATGCAGCAAATTAAGAAATAGTTGCCGCGATGAAAATAGTCAAATAGTTGAAATACCTTTGAACAGAGGCAGGCTAACTGTGCTAGAGGCTGTCCAATGTTAACAAAAGTTTGAGGGATGATGCATCATTAAACTCTGAGAGAAAATAGTTATAATGAGTGCACTTGAGTTCAAATCAATCCTTGTGTTTTCCTCTTGTAAAACACTGATGTGATTGACCGATAAGGCTTAATCTGATTGGCGTAATTAAAGTTCTTTAAATGAATATTGAGGTTTTAAACTCAGACGTAATATTTCAGAGACCATGTGGTGTCATTTAACTATTTTTGCATTATGGAGATGCTTTAATAAAAGGTCAGAATTAAAAAATGCACTTGAATAAGAACATGCATCAGTGATTGAAATGGTTCCTGATTGGCCTTAGGGGAGCCTGTAGCTTTCACAGGTGACTACATCTTACTAAGATGCTACAATCTACTGGTGTAAGAATTATGTTTTGACTCACAGATTCAGAGGACTCAGAGTGCTCCCCCTCTGGACCAGAGTGCTGTTTCCGGATGCCTCGGGCACCCGTGGGTGGGCGTGGAGACAGGATATGGATGATCTCTTCTTCATATCTTTTAGAGCGATCCACCTTCCAAAAAAAAAAAACATTCATTAATATTGTTGCCATTTTGTATGCGTGGCCATACCTTGTGTGTTTAATCTGTTATCTATAAATAGAAGTACATGCTAATAATGTTTTGGGGTTTCATATTATTTAAAATAATACAAAATCTGGAAGCAAAGTGTTGTTTAAATGTTAATGATGTACTTTGATCGTATGCACCCTTTCCCTCCTTGCAAACTCCTCCAGTTTCCTTTTGATCTCTATTTGATGGACACGCTGTTTGGGAGGCGCACAGAACAAATTTGAATCGGTTATTATTCAAGGATAAGCACAGATTAGCTGAGTGTTTTTACTGTTTTGTCTCTGATAAAGTGTGCTCCTCCCACCTCCATCTCCAGCACCTTGTGGAAGATGGCCTGGGCCAGGCATTCTCGGATGTGTCTGTGGTGCGCTCTCTGGATCAGCTTGTGTCTGTACTCCTTGTCTGGAACAATGCGCCCACTCCGTGTGATCTGAAAACAACGATAAGCAAAGTTCAGGATACGGTTTAGGTTTTCAAAGACATTGTTGTCTAACTGAGGTCACCAAGATCTGACATTTTAGGCATACATATCTTTAAAGGCTCTGAACAAAAAAATGTTTACTTGGTTTCCTCCTTTAATAATTAAAATTGCACCTGAAAAACGTGTTCTCATGCTTGAAGTGTGCAGGGCTTTAGATGTTTTGTTTGTTTACTAACCTTAATAACTTAAGACTTGAAGCAAAGGTTGTGTGCTACTCTAAATCTGCCAGATATAAAATATGATTACTAGATAAAACCCCTCAATGTATCTGAGAGTAATAATATAGACAGTATGGATATCGTAAACCTCAAATCTGTAGCTCTCAGAAGTATCACATCCACCACGATCACCATCATCATCATCATTATCATCATCACCATCACCATCAACCTGCTGACGTACCAGTCCTGCTCTCTGCAGGTGTCTCCTGATCCGACTGTTGCTGAAGTACCCTGCCAGATGTCTGTCTGTGAGACTGTTGTATGCTGAAATAAGTCTGCAGAAACAACAGCAAAATAAAACACTCATTAAATGAATCCCAGACAAATAAACTGATAATAAATACAATTTATTTTTCACTTTTGTAGAACTTTAAGTTGAGTAATGCTAGGGAGCACTGGTGGGACAAACGTCAAACACTTTGGACACACTACTCAGTCACGAGGATGAAGGGGGAGCTAAGAGAAAGCAGGAGAAGTGATCGAGTGTTGGAGCAGGATTGGAGAATTGAGAGACTCTGAGTGTCTCTGATCTTGGGGAAGGGTCCAGAGCCTCAGAGGTGGTCTGGAAAAAGCTCTGTCCCAGATGTTGCAAAGGTTAGACTATGGGATGTGTGGGGGAAACTTCTGAAGCAATTGGAGTCAGGACTCAAAGAGAGACACGATGGAGAGCTGGAGCTTTGATGGCAAACACTGACGGTTTATTTGGAGCTTCGGCCGGAGAATTCACAAGACATGTCAAAGGGCCACGAGTTGACCACACGGTTGAGATGCCACAATCAATTCTGAAGACCCCTCCTGTAGCTCGAGGTTTGAACTAGTTCAGAGTGTAATAATCAACATTCCTCAATAGATAGACTAAACAGCTGAGGGACACTGAATCACATTTGTTGTCGCTTATGGCTCGGGGTCATCTACACCCCGAGAAGGATGTGTTCCAGGTGTCCCACAATAATAACTATCTCTAACCGAGAGTTGCCCGGTCTTAAACTGGTAACATCAACACTATGCTAGGGCAGCCCCTCCTTATGGGAGATAACGGCTGCTCAAGGCTGGGCATCTGCGTCAGAGGGCGAAAGATGACATGCAGGGGAAATTATTCCCCAACAGGATGGAGAGTAGGGAGGCCAAGCTAGATCTAAGGTATCATGGGGCCTTGTTGGTGATGAGTTTGTATGTCAACACCAGGATTTTTAAGTTAATTAACAGGGAGACAGGAAGCCAGTGGAGGTCTGAATGTCTTCCACTAGAGATCTTGATTACTGTTCACAGAAAACCACAATCCCAATCAAATTATTTAGTGGGGCACTACACCATGCTTGTTTGTTTGTTTCTTGTCAGCCCGGCCGGACTGAAAGTGTTTTTCCAACACAGATTTGATTTCCTCCAGCATTTGTGTACGAGACAAGAGGATCTCACTATAGGGTCAGTTACCGGGGTCTGATTACAAACAGGAATTAAAGGGGATGGTACACTTAACCCTGTCTGCCTCCTCTTTGTGCACGTGGCGTGTGTCTCTGGTATTCTTCAGATTCTGCTCCAGATTTCTCTTTGAGCCACAACATGGTGGTTGAACTACCACGGGTCATTATTAACATGACTTTCTCTGACCCATCGAGAAGTCTAAAGAAATGGAAAACAAAACTAAGCCTGAATTTCAATTAAAAATGTAATTAGTATTCAAGTAAATTAGTTGTAGAAGTTCAAATACAAATTCTACACTAGAAAATTACTCAGTTAGAAAAACCGCAATAAAAATATACTTAAGCTTTGGCAGATTGACCCCTATCAGTGTATTTATTTTTCTATTGTTGCAATTCCAGTTCATTTTACCTACTTCATATAATAATTAATCCATAACAATGCATGATGCATACATTTTTACAAATAGTGTATACAGTATATTCTGTGAAGTAACTTTAGCTGCTTCTTTTTTACTTTTAATCGTAGTGGAGTGGAAGCATGTTACTAAAAACAAGTACCTTAATGTTTTACTTAAAGGGGACCTATCATGCAAAATGCACTTTTGTACGTCTTTTATACATGAATATGTGTCCCCGGTGTTCCAGGGAACTCACCAAGTGTCAGAAAACACAACCCTCTCTATTTTCCTCCATACCCAAATCTCTAAAAAAGGGGCTGCAACGGATCTGATAAAAACTGATCCAGATTGAACACTGTCCTGACGTCAGGACGGTGGCGCTACGGCTATTGGGCCAACTCCACCAATCAGGAGGAGACAGCCACGGCCATTGTCGTTCGAAAGCGCTGGAGACGCTGTAGTACATATGCCAGGCCTGTAGATGGTGCTGTTCTCACATAATCTGCCCTTGCAAAAACAGAGCTAAAAAAATGTCAAATTGAGCAAAATGAGGCATGGCTAAAATGCATGATCTGTTTGGTATTTTGAAAAAAAAAAAAGTATAAATATGCCTTATATAGGTATGGTCCTACACAATATTATTCAAATATAGCATGATAGGTCCACTTTAAGTACCCTTCTTGAGTAAATGTATACTACTTATCGACATTACACTGCTGGTAACAGTACATTTTCTTCAAAGTATATGAACACAAAAAGTATATGAACACAAAATTATCTTTTCATCACTCCATCATTGTTGCTAGTGCTTCTTCTTTTCTTTTTAAGTTGTGTTCAATGTCATTTGTTGTTCACAGTTATATACTTTGATACAACTGCTATTTCAAAGTAGTTTTTTTTTAAAGGATTTACTAGCTTTTAGTGGACTTAAAGTGCAATAGAGCCTAGTCTAAAAGTATATTGGTCTTACCTAAAATTAGTAGCTTGTTTTTAAATATGTCACTCTCCTAAAATTGTTTATTAGAGCAGCCTAATGTGGTTTGTGACGCAATGTTAAACAGTAGGCTAGCATTAGCATAGTTTGAGTATCAATTAAAAGTATTTAATTCTGCCTCTATAATGACCATATTACTGGATATTTTAACCTCGTAACATATTTTTAATAATAAGTTATTACAATTATTTTAGGTAAATACAACATAAAAAAAACCCAAAACAAAGTTGCACAAACATGCTAATGTTTAATATTAAACAGTAAATTGCACACTTACCCTGGGTTGAGGTGACTCATGGTTTTTCAGCTCGCCCTCTTTTAAAAACCCTCCCACAATTATATTTGAGATAAAAGGGGCCGTTGTCTTCACTGTAAGGCCAGTGTTAAGTAAAATTAAGCCGGCAGAAGTGTTCTAAAGTGCGGCTGTTTTATTTCAGAGGAGTCGGTCTGCACTCAGAGCGGAACTGTGACACTCAGCGGTTGCTATCATGGTTGCTATGGGACATCACGTGATGGTGCTGCTGCCAATGAGGATCCACTTACAGAGTCCAACAACCAGAAACTATTACACATGTATTTTAACATTAACACATTCACTTGGTTTTCGACTCTATTAAATGTTGTTTACAAGTTATCATAATATAAAAACTGTGAAGGTTTAAACATATTTTGAACAAGAAACAAATAACTATGAATAACTATGTACACTTCTACTTTGATGTGGCCACCTGGTACATTTGACCTCCATAGGCTAAAGGAAGTTTTATGTGAGTTAAAAATATATTAAAACTATTAAAGTTTTAGATACTCAAAAAGTAAAAAAGAAAGAAAGTGTGGTCTTTAACGAGATTCATGTATACATTAAAAAAAAAGTATTATCAATTTATTTTATCTAAATTCCTTATCTTGAGATTACATCTTGAGTACATACAGTCAAATATATATTTTTGAATACAAAAATGTCATACCAGATTTTTTTTTACCCCATTAATTGAAAACGACCACAGTCTAAATACAGCAAAATTGAAGCAGGCAGAACAGTAATGGCAAGTGACGTGCATAGAAGTGCTGATTAATGCAATCCCAATTGCTTGCGCGCGCGTGTGTGTGTGTGTGTGGTGTGTGTGTGTGTGTGTGTGCAAATTAAAAACTGTATGCATTATTATTTTGCTTAAACTGAATGAACCAAAAATGATATAAAATCCCTGGTCTAGCCTCTGATTTTAGAAAGTATGAAATGTGATATATAAACCGTTATAGATCTCAGTATACAAACAGTTTACCAGAATACCTAAAGCTGCAGGTCCTCTGTGGCCATCTAGTGGAAGTGTTGAGGATTAATTTTACCAGTAAACGGCATCATTTTCACATTTTCTAGACAATACACAAACGTCTTAATGTGAAGCTCATTATATTAACGGATACATTAAATAATCAACAACAACCTGAATCTGATTATCTAATATGTTTATGATACATATACTGTAAGTCAGGTGGGTTTGCTTCTGCTGTCTGTCTTCTGGTGTCTTACTGCCTTGATATTGTTTTGAAGTATCACATTAAATCCGACCTAGACTTTGAATTTTCTGGCATAATCTCCTAATTTTTCTAATCAATTGAAGTGTTTGTCAGTACCAGAGAGGACCAGTGAGAGGAGCCATGCTTCTGTCTCAGTGTGGGACAAAGGTTAATAGTCTCACCACTTAAGGATGAATGATGGCATGTGGCGCAGTGGATAGAGCCTTGGTGTTGGGATCAGGGTTCAAACCCCACTGCAGTCAGCATGTCGTTGTGTCCCTGGGCAAGACACTTCATCCCCAAATTGCTCCTGTGGGGATTGTCCACAGTATTGAGTATGTAAGTCTAACAAGTGACATGTACTGTAATAAGTTGTCAGGAATCTTGTGTCTTTTGGTATACATCCTTTTCAAATGTACAACAGGAGAAAGAGATGTATATATTATATGAATTTACAGGGCAGTGAGTGGTTTCACAGGAAGACTTGAGTCTGATACTGGGGGTCAAACTAAGGATTTATGATGTACAGGATGAAACAACACAAAATGAAATGCTTGATTGGTTCAAAAGTTTCAGGAGGAACATCATTAAAAACAAGTTATAAGCAAACAGAAAGAGTTATATCACGGAACCATAAAACAATAAAACATGAACAGTGATGCCACTTAAATTACGCCAAATCATCAAACAATACATTCTGTAAACTAAAAAGCGACCGTGTAAAGCAAGACAAATAATTGTTATGCTAGTAATTACAACAACAACAACAACAATAGTAATAATAATAAGATAGAAGAACATTTTATAATATTTCCCTAATTCCCAGGAATATGTTGAAAATACAAAATAATATAAGCAAATTAAAAAGGAGATGAAGAGAAGTAAGAGAAGTTATTTTAATTTATAACAATTACTATTTTTATTATTACTTTATGGGCTATTTTTGCGTTGTGGACCCAGACTAAGGTTTGTTGGTCATTTTTACTCTCCAGCATCTCCTCTCGTTCCCCATCAGGACACCTGTGGATGTTTGAGATAAACAGGCGGAGGAAAACAGAGGAAAACCGAAGAGGAGAGTGTGATGGAAAGGGAGAAAATAGTTGATAAGAGACTGGAAAACAGAAAAGGAAAGATGTTAGTGTAGTGTTCAATTAGAGACTATATAAGTGTGTGTATTTCTTAAAGTTCATCAATGAATCAACGTGTTTGTGTCGTCATAAAGGTTTAAGTTGTAAAACATTTTACAGTATTTATGCTGAGAAAAGCAGATTAAATGTTTATTCACAAGATTAGACATGAGTAATACAATTACTTCATGTGGATAAGTCATGTATATGAGGCATGAACAAATACATGCAGGGGCAAATACAATAAACATGTTTCCACTGCTACTAATACTGGTTCTACTACTACTGCTACTACAGATGCTTCTTTTAAATGTGATATTCTATAGGTATAAATAAGAGCAGGTTGATGTAACGTTGTGTACTGCCAAGATTCACATAATGTACCTATGATAACATTAGTACATTATGTTAAAGAAACCGTTAATATTTTCATTTTCTCAAGTAATGTATTATTAATTTCATACTAATTTAATCTTCTACTCCTCTACGTCTCTGAGACAAAAATGTTACTCTACCACATGTATTTGATAACATTAGTGTCTTAAATTAATGAACAATACTCAATATAGTTCAAGAAAATTAACTTTATTGATGTCTTGGGGAAATCCATAAGCTGCCAGGTATAACATATACAAGTAAAAACAAAATCTACTTCTTGACAAGCTGCAACAAGTGATGAACAATCTAATGCACCGATATTTATAATTTGATTATAATTGGCTGCTCTGCAGAAGAAGTACTTTATTATAAGGCTGATACTTGTACCTGTAACAGATTATTTAGAGACTGTTAGAGAATATTTTTACTAAGAAAACTGGGCACTTTTCCACTAATTTGTCCGCCTTATTAAAGTAGAGTTTAAAACATAAACTGCATGTCGGAGTATTTCATACACTTTCTTCACTTTTGCTGTAACAATGTAAATCTCCCCTCTGTGGGATGAATAGAGGTATTCTGATTCTAACCTTCACATGTGCAGATGTGCTCTGCAGCAGCTCTGCCTCACACCAAGCAGCGGACATGAACCCACATCAGCATTCAGTACCTGTCAGGCAGGTGGAATTCAGACGGATAGACCTCCAATGCTGGCATAAACACAGTAATCAAGGCAGACATTTCCCCACCACTGAACACCTAATACACAACCTAAGTCTTAAAATAACAATTAGCGTAGAAATGGAGGAGGGGTGATAATAAATTCCATTCAGGAAAGGGTCTTGGCTGTAAGCTGGGAGGTGGTAGGAGATGTCGGGGAGTCATGCGGCTCTGAGATGGGGGGGCAGCAGTTTTTGCAATCAGCGTTAAATAGAGCAGTTTTGTGCCTGTGTGATTGTCAAGTGGGCTATTACTGGTTGATAAGAGCACTTTTTCCTTATGTAGCTCTGATTGGGCTGAGCATGCTGCTCCCTCTCGCATGCTGTCCCAATGCAATCAGGCCCCTCTTTCACTGCACTGCCATTTTTACTGCTGTGATTTCCACCCAATCCCCCGTCGGCCCCCAGCCAACCTAACACCCACCCTCACCCTCCTCCACCGTCCCCAGCCCTCCTCCAGCACCCCGACCTCCCCCTTCAGATTCGATGAGTACCCATTTACAGCAAGGAGAAAAGGTCATGCCAAACTCGTTGTGTCAATTGTAAACCACCCAATTCTGACTGATTTCAATGAAATAAATGAGTAGGTGCAGCCACAGAGAAAGCAAAGGTCCATGTGGAAATAGCAAATTAGCAGATATTCTCAGAGAATCACCGGGGCCAAACGCTCACCGCTACACTCCCACATTCCTTGTTCTTCCTGCATTTGGCTTTGCATGTTTTTCAATGTAACTTTTGCACGAAAAACCTTTTATCACAAATGTGAATTTGTCAAAAAAGTCAAATATTTCCAGGAATCATCCTTTCCACATGTGTTGTTTGGAGATAATGTTGTATTGGTAGATCCTTGGGGTTAGTGAGAGGGATTCTACATAACAAACACGTGGCTCTTCTTTCCAATTGAATGAACTTCTATTAATGTTCTTTGTCCAGCACTTGTGTTATGGGCTTTGTTGATACTGTCTTAAGCTCCTATTTTTGGTCTTCAGACTCAACAGCAAAATTATCAAAATATTTTTAATATTGTTTTCTTTTTTCTTGCTTTGTGACCTTTTAAAACCCAACATGTAGAAACCTGCCAAAGTTACTTTTGATGAGGGTGAACAAATACAGAAATTACTGTATAACATGAATTGGGGAGGTTTGCCAAATAGTCTTTCATAGAAAATAAATGTACAGTATTCTACCCGATATTAATATTTCACTGGTGTTCGGGGTGAATTACAAGTAAAGGTCCGGCAGGTCATTTTCTGTAGCAAAACTCTGATATCTGTCAGTTTAAAGAGATGCTTAATGGCAATTCTTATCAGACGAGGGAAAGTCATGAAGTACTAAACTGATGGAACAAAATGAATGATGATTTTAAGGATTTCCAGAACCCCGAAATTAGGATTAGGATTAAGAATTAACCCTTATTATTCAAATATAATTCCTAAAATCATCTCTATGGAACGACTTCTTAAATGTATCACAATGCAACTGTTCGATCTTAGTCGCATCACTCTCAGACGGCATATCAATAACCCGTCATTGCCATTGTTTCGCATGCCATCATAATCGCTGCCTGCCTGTCATACCTTTTAATGGAGTATTAATAGATCATGTTGTGTATACAGCTGCAGCCACACACAGACGTAAAACAGCAGAGCATAGCAGAACAAGTTTGAAGGATGTTGACAGATAAGATATTGTTGTTGTCTGGTCCACATCAGGCAAAACATTTAGGTAGTGAGCCATGCAATGTGGAACATTCAAACATGCAACTGTTCAAGTGTATCTGTGGTCATATCAGGTATTCTGCAGATCGTTCAAGACTTTCATGTCTGAGAAAGGATTAGTCATTTTTAAGATAAAACGCTCTCCAGGTATGTATAATTTGTTTTGATATTTCATTCACAGCAACACTGTCTTGCTCGCATGAAATCTCTTTTTTCACCTTTGACCTCTTTGTTTGAACTCATCACAGAGGTCAAAATAAAGCTTTTTTTTCCTTTAACTTTCTTGTACCTTTCATTTTTAAGCAGTGTAAGGGATTGAGGGGTAGTGTTTGTCTCACAGGCTGCCTCAGTGAGCTGTCTGCTCCGCTATGTTATGTTTGAGATGCGATATCTGATAAAGAGCATTCATCTCCACCGGGTGGAACAGGACACATCTCGATGGAGGCACGCTAACTCCTTTATCCCTCTGCGATGGTGCGATACGGAGGCCGACTCATGCCGCTGCAGGTCGGACTGTTATCCCATCAAAATAGACCAGGATAGAAAATAACCCTCTGCTGTGTGTGTGTGTGTGTGTGTGTGGTGATGGTGGGTGGGATTGCGTGAGCGCCTGGGTTGAATGAGTAAGTGAAAAAGGTAAGCAAGTGTGTGTTTTCTTACAAGTCACCCAAAGCGTTTTTATATGAGACTCCTGTCAGTCCTAGAGAAGTATCATGCCTTTAACAGACTGCATAGTGTAACCAGTCACTGCTCGAATGTAGATTGACAGTTGACTTGATTTGCATACTGACTTAAAGCAGGTGGGCGGCATAATTTTCTATCTTGTGATGCAGCTGAAGATGCTAAATCACTTAGAGGGCCGAGAAGCAGAGGTGGAAAGTACTTAAGTACATTTACTCAAGTACACTTAACCCCTGTATTTATATGACATTGGCTTCACTTCCTCAGTGTTTGGGTTACCACAGACCACACCGAAGTGAAATAATAGTAACTGCCAAATAGACCAATATTTTTCATTTTAAAAATTCTTGAAAAATATTTAAAATCTCTTTGCTACAGATTGAGTTTGCACATTTAATTCTTTTTGTGTTGATTTTACCAAAATAAAGCATTTTTCTGTTTTATTTTGTATGGTATAATGTTTCTCTCTTCCCTAAAATAATAAGAGAGGTTGGACAAAAGTCAGAGGAGTGAGTTGCCAACAGACATTGATTTGTTTTAAGAGGTCACAGACCAGTTAAATTGCTTAACATTACATGTTACTTGTTAGACGCTTTTATCCAAAGCGACTTGCATACTCAATACTGTGGACAATCCCCACAGGAGCAATTTGGGGTGAGGTGTCTTGCCCAGGAACACAACGACATGCTGACTGCAGTGGGGTTTGAACCTGTGACCCCCTGAGCTTTATCCACTGCGCCACACGCCTCCTTAAAAGGTGAATTTAGCCATGGTCTCTGTAACTGTATATCAATTAAATATATAAAATGTTAGTAGGATGGCGGTCATTCAAAGCTAATTGAGAGACTTGCATTCTTCAACAAACCGACCACATGTTGATCAATGTATCTTATGGGGGACTTTTCCTCCGTTTAATATGTTACTTAAGAATAATAACTGAATTAACAAAATGCACTCAAAAGAAAAAGCACTTTTTGCAGAAAGACTTGTTTAAGAGTTTTATATTATTATATGTTGTACTACTTGCGTGTACAGTACTGATAATGTTAACACTGGTTGTGGTGTGCACATTATATACTGTTGGTCTTTAAAATGCATTACATTTTATTTGATAATCACGCTTTGTATCCTTATTTAAGATCTCAATGAAAAAGGGGCTACATGTGTTAAATGTTTCCCCTTAGAAGTAAAGTGCAAGTACCTTAATTAGAGTAGACGTAGCCTACTTGAGTAAATATAAAACAGTGGTATACTTTACCATTGTTAACACTAATTATGCTGCCTGCATGTGGTTAAAGTTAATTCAGGAGGCAGAGGACATTTTAATCAACAATATATGTTACAAGAACGGTTAGTTAGTAATTGCATGTATGACAATTAATGATGTATATGTGTTCATTATAACCTATACATTGATTTTTACCGTGCTTATTTTCTTAATCTCATATATTTGATCTTTATTTCATATAGTTTTGTATTCAATACGACCATAACATGGAATTAAAAAAGGAGAAAAATGATCAATACATATTTATACAGACATTATATTTTTCTTTTCCTCAAAGCTCAGATAAAGCCAGACAATGCATGTATTTCCTGAGGGAGGCGCGGTCACAGAGGACAGGGAAATATGAATTATGATCCGCCCTCTGGAGACAGAGCGACGGAGGAATCCTGGAGGAGAAAGAAAGAATAACAGCACTTTTACTCTGAAACTGGGCACCTTCACTTCTGGAAACAGACATGCGCTGGAAAAGTGAAGTAAAAGTCGAGTGCTGCGTTGTGAGCGAGACTGAAAACGGATCTGTGTTGTCCAACGATGAGGTGAGTTATGCCAATTAAACCCAGCCGGCTGTATTTCCTGTCAGCAGGTCGAGGTGTGAGTCAGTGTATAGCCTATAGATCGTGGAGGGGATTAAATATTAGTCGAAATTGCTTTACCAATTAAATTAAAGTGGGCTTCAGTCTGTCATTTAATCCGGCCTTCCACGGTGACAGCTCAGTATTTTCACAATTTGAAGAAATGTCGAAGAAAATTACCCCTCCCCTGAATTCTGCAATTAAAAACTCAAGTAGTTAATGAGACCTCTTCACCTTTTGCTTCACCGTTTGTGGCGAACATAGCCTTTTAATTGCTGTTATTAAAAAAATCAATCCGCCTTTCCCCGCTGCTTTTTGTTGTGCTTTTGATTGACACGTGAAATTGGCGTGTTGCGGTGTTTAACCACAGCCAACGAGCCGCGGCTGAATCACAAATGCAAATCTGAAGAACATAATGCACATAGGATAAGCATTAGCTCGAGTGTTGTCTGTTTATGTAAGTAATGACTATCCTTCTCTTTTAAATGTCATTTTGGTAATCGCCGGCGTTGTCATGGTGAAAAGTGAAAGGCATGATATTTATGGGAAGGGGCAGGGGGCATTTCAGGCAGCTGCAGCGGGACAGAGCTGCAGAATCTAACTTCCGTCATGTGTGAAGACTGCAGAGGAGACCAAGAGCTGCTAGGCAAATGCACTGAGGACAGGAGAGACATTATGGTAGGAAATCACTGCTGTAGCTCAAACTCGATTTATCTCCAAAAACAGATGGATTTATGACGGATACAGTTTTAAATACCCCACATTTTGGATCAATTTGGCTAACAAATATACGAATATTTCTCCTCCATGTAAGCGATTTTCAAATTAGCGTCTAAAAAAGAGCTAACTTTTTTTTTTGTTAGCTTATGTGGCTAGTTAATAAGAACAATTCACTTTGACTTTGTAAATGATTATGGCTGCTTATTTTATTCCGTAACTATTTTTGCACACTTGTAGAATCCTTTGTTTGTATTTAGTTGTCGGTCGATCTATTATAGTTTATTCCAATTGATTCTGTTATTTTCTATTGTGTTTTCTTTAGATACTTTATATAAATCTTATTAATGTGGATATGTATATTTGACTGTGAATGTTATTATAATGTTATTATATGTTTAAGTCATGCAAATGCATGTACATGCTGCTGTGAGAATACAATTTGGGATCACTAAATTATATATCTAATCTAACATAATCCTATCCATCTAATCTACATTTTAATTTTCTCTAAGGTTTGAATATATTGACACAAGAAAAACAAGTTGAATCCATAGGCTACAGTAGAGCCAGTACAACTAGGATCAGAAAATAGCTATTATTATAATAATGATTATTTTGTTTGCAGTGTTTTATGGTTATTGGCAGTAATCGGGTGCTCTGAGTTGTAACATGTTGCGCAGTCTGCGTCAGACTAACCGCAGTGTGATCCGCAGGGCGCGCCGGTGGAGGTTTTGGATGAGGACGCGTCGACGCTGCAGGCCATGGCATCGGCACCTCTGCTGGGGAGAGCTGTGTGCGCGAGCTGCAACGAGGAGATTGTGGATAAATATTTATTAAAGGTAAAAACAACTTTTTGCGCACTGTTTTCCATTTAACTTTAGATGTTCTTTCTTGTTTCCGTTTGGATATGTGTGTGTGTTTTAGAACTCACGCTGGTGTTCATGCGTGTACACAACGGGCCTGATTGATTTATGCCAATTTCTCCTGTCCATGCTGTATAGGTTAACGACTTGTGCTGGCATGTGCGCTGTCTCTCGTGCAGCGTGTGCCAAACTTCACTTGGCAGCCACACGAGCTGCTACATCAAAGAAAAAGAAGTGTTCTGTAAACTAGATTACTTCAGGTACGTGCATCCACTTTTATCCAGCGGCTCAAAATCGAATCTATATAGGCTAGGCTATATAATGACGTCACGTTATATATTATATTGCAAATTGAGGAATATCAAATCTATAATATTAATAATAACATTATGTCTATATACGTCATTTGCTTTGACTTGATATTTATTTTATAAATGTTCCAACTCTGCCGGTTTATTGTACAACAACAAAATTAACTCTTCATTATTACATATTTAAGATATATAGATCAAGAATAATTGTATTAATATTACACCATTATGTAAAATAATTCGTTACAAAAGAAGGAGACTCAAGACTAAATCTGAGTCACTTCTTTATTAATTAAATATAACAGGGCCTATTTATCTCAACATTTCACCAAGGCAGTCAGTTTTCCACATTTGTCCTGCAGGCTAAATAATGGAATAATTCTGCTGGATAATGCTATTTTTAATTGTATTCTCTGCCTAAAAAATATCTCTAACATAAATGCAAGTAAAATAATCGTAATCATACTTTAAATGCCAAAAACACTTGTTGAAATACTTCGGTGTTGAAGCAGTTAAATGCCCTCAGGCCGCTCCTGTATTTTACTGAGGGTTTACCGTGCTCACCCAACCCCCCCCCCCCTGCAGAAGATACGGGACGTGGTGCGCGTGCTGCGGCCGGAACATCCACTCCACAGACTGGGTCCGGCGGGCCAAGGGGAACGTGTACCACCTGGCCTGCTTCGCCTGCTTCTCCTGCAAGAGGCAGCTGTCCACCGGGGAGGAGTTCGCTCTGGTGGAGGAGAAGGTGCTCTGCAGGGTGCATTACGACTGCATGCTGGACAACCTGAAGCGGGCCGTGGAGAAGGGTGAGCCGGCCGGGGGGAGGGGGGGGACTCGGTCCTTATCCTGTTTTCTACGTTATGTCTATAACACATCTAGAGGCAATAGTATTACTTAAAGTCCAAGACGTTACTTTATTTTGTCAGAAAAATACCAATTTTCTGTTATTGTGAAAAACCATGTCCTTATCACAGAAGTATCTTATTATGGAAAAAATATCAGTCATTTATATTACTCTGAACCAGGATGTTGAATATGCATTTTTTTTTTAGATATATACTAACAAAATGTATATGTGAATGAATGAAAAAAGGCATCATTTTAGCCTACAACAACTTCATGTCCCAAGAATATTTATTTAAATGGAAGTGATTGGTTATAGTTTTTAATATTGTTATTGCATGCTGCTGTTTTTATTTAACAATTTCAACTGTATTATTATAATTCCATAAATGATCAGTTTATTTTTCTAAATGCTTTTTTATGTTGAACAGCTTTCAAAGACACTTACTGCATGATCACATCCCTTGTGAACGTGTTGCTTGTTTCATACTTTGTAAAAGAAAACCTATCTTTTGATTACATCAACTAACTGACTCAAAATGTTGTGTAGGTTGACTTCATTTCTTTAGTAAAGGTCTGCTCTAATTAAAATTGCCTACTTAGAAATAATTTAAAGGAAATATATATTTGAGCTACATTTTTGAAGATGTTTTAATATGAGATGTGCTCTTATTGTTGCAGGAAGCATTGTAAACATGGAGGGGGCTGTGCCCACCGAGCAGGAGATCAACCAGCCCAAACCCTCCAAGAGAGCGCGCACCAGCTTCACCGCCGACCAGCTGCAGGTTAACCTCCATCCTCACTTTTCACAGATAAACAATGATTATGCAATTCTGCTGGGAAAACACTGAATAATATATCATTTGGCCTAAAAATGAGCCCACGAATACATTCACCTTATCTCAAATTTGTGTAATCAAAATGTTGCTCCAGAGGATTAAACAAAAATAGGTATAATGTACATTTTAATAAACTACATGTCTTTTTCTTTCTTTATAATACTAAATGATATGGTTAATAAAGTATTATGTTGCATCCAGGAAACTATAAATCAATGTCAACCCTAATATTAAAGTATTTTTTATTCTCGTTATTCTGTAGAATTGTATTTTTGTCTTCCAACAACATGACTTGTGAACTGTAGTGACAAACCAAATGTGGGTCAAATCTCTACACAGCTCTTAAACATTCATTTCCTCACACCACAACAAAGCAAATCTGTGTGTGTTATTGACGTGTTTCTGTTTTACCTGTGAACATGCAGGTGATGCAGGGCCAGTTTGCTCAGGACAACAATCCAGACGCTCAGACGCTGCAGAAGCTGGCGGAGCAGACGGGTCTCAGCCGGAGAGTCATACAGGTCAGTGAGGAACGTGAGGGGGGAGATGGAGTTTGCAATATGGAAACATCTTGTTAAAACATTAAGGAAAACCAAAATAAAAAACATTTATTCTATATGCACAGGCTTTCTCCAAATGTAATAACATTTTTAATGTAAAGCATGTTTCAAAAACTATATTCTGCTGCAGTTTAATAAAAAAACAGCACATTTTATTCATAAATTGATCATATATTTTTAAATGTCAAATATTAATCAACAAAGTATTCAGTCTTGACATGAAGCTGTAATGGAGAACAAATAACTATGTTTGACCTTCTGAAATGTTGTGCAGAAGAACAATACAGCATAAAATAATAAGTAAGAATACCTTAAATGTACACTTTGAAACAATAAGTGAATAAATATTCTTAGTTATTTTCTATTTCTGGCACAAGGTTTATCATATTATAATAATCAGAACATTAACTATTTTTCAATTGTGTTATTTACATGGAAAATAAGGTAAACAAGTAAGTGTGTTCAAATAAGGTGTATCATTTAAATAATGTAAAACTATACAGAGTTGCTCAGCCTCACACACAGCTTCAGATCAATGGCTGTGAGACTTCAAACTAACTTTGAATGCTAGTAAAAGTTGATAGAGACATATGGTTTTACTCACCAGGTGCAGCTCCTCCACTGTCTGAGATCTCTTGGCAGCGAGATAAAGTCCTGCAGTTTACAAGCTTACAGAATTACTCACAGCATTAATATCGTGTGTCTTTTGGTTTATGTGTTTTGTGTGAACGGTAGATTGTTTGTTTTTATGATCCTACCAAAAGTGTTTGTCCCGTTAACTAACAGGTCTGGTTCCAGAACTGCCGAGCCCGCCACAAGAAGCATGTGAGCCCCAACCACGGCTCCAGCAACCCCATGTCCTCGCTGCAGTCCAGCCGCCTCTCGCAGCCCACCCTCACCCCCGAGGAGCTGCAGTACACAGCCTACGGGGGCCCGGAGGGGTCAATGCTCTCTGCACTACACTCCTTCATAGACAGTGAGCACCAGCCTTTTCATGACATTAACACGGTGTACTGTGGTTCACTGCTCACTATAAAGAACTACATGTCAAATTCATATTTTAATATTTGAAATATTATATTGATCTGGTTTATTTAAACAGGAGTTTATCTGCCAAGAGGCACTTAAAAAGGTTTCCCAAATTTCAACTTTTGGCAATTCCACAAAAAGAAGTGAGTGGTTACGTACCCCTCCAGCCAAAGACAAATATCAGCTTAGTTAATTTGCTAATGATTTGATGTTAAAAATCGAGTCCAAAGAAAAAAGTAGAGCATAGGATATTTTTTGAAAATGTCAGGATATAAGATGAACATTGAAAAATAAATACAGTTCAAATATTTTTTAAAGGAACTTTCTTCAAATGGCATTAGTGAATAAAGAGAATTGTGCAACATCTGAATTGGGAGGATGAATATAAAACATAATGGTCATACATAATTGACTACGTACACAGGTCACAGTAACCATCCCTGCTCATGAAATTAAATGAAACCAGAGGTTCCTGAATTGATTTCAATCCACTGTTGCTGTTTCATTAACAAAGACAAGAGAGGCTTAATGATGACGCTGAAGCTTTTACTAATGTCTTAATAGAAAGATCTATTTATATATAATTTATAATGACTGCAGTGCTCTCTGTGTGCCCGCAGTACACTCCCCTCCATCAATGTTTCAACCGCTGCTGCCAGCCCACGCCATGACCTCCCTGCCTGTGTCTCACGCCTGAGACACACACACACACACACACACACACACACACACACACACACACACACACACCAGTATTCAGGTCTCTATGGTAAATATAGTTTGATTTTAAGTGAACCATCAAACGTGTTTTTCTTGAACAGCCAGTGATTTATTAAATGTCGACATTCTTTGAATACACTTATTTCACTGTTAAGCACAATATGGTTGACTATAATTTATTTGTACTGTATAATGTGGAAATGAAAAGGTTTCCGTGTACCTCAGTGGATTGTGGCAGATGATATGACATCATCAAATCATCTGTTTGTGTAGTTGGTGACAGTTTGACCGGGCTACTCTAAGTGGAAGCCACCCGACCCAAAATGTCAAATCGTTATGAAGGTTGTACAGTTGTGTTTGAATATTGCAATTAATTAATTTATTGTATGTGAAGTGTTTTTGAAAATAAATGTCTAATTTTACAAAACCGGGACTAATTATTAAGAAAACATCATTTTCTGATCCAGTGACATCTGACATGTTGGATGTGCATATTAAGAGAATAGAGGATAGTAAAAACATAGTAGAAATACTATTTATTGATAAAAACAGAAACATTTATATTTGATGTAATATAATCTGTTAAAAAAAACACATGCAACCGTAACGTTATAAATAAATATAAAACAGAGGCACTTATACTGTCAGCTTTGTGCACAAAGGAGCCACAATAAATAACACCATTTGCAGTATTGACAGGTTTGAGCACTGCATCTTTAGAGTTTGACTTTTAAGAGTTTGCGGTTAGAAAAGTGACGCACGTAATGAGGAGAGGAGCTGCACTTGTGTCTACTTGTTGACTGTGGTTGACCAAAAGAATCCAATTTTCAGACATGGAAGGGGGGAGGCATATAAAAGCAGCTTTTACTTCTGTTATCAGATCTTAGGTATCCACCCTCATGGGAATGAAACCCGACCTGTTGCATGATGTAAAGATCCACAATTCAACTGGAGGAATACAAGTTTTTCAGTATAAAAAGGAATAAAGGCAGACGTTATATGGCACACTGAGCACCACAGGAATCGTTTCTCTCCTTTCAGACACTGAAGCACAGTTGTTTTGCTTTTACTGAATTGTTACATTGTACGTGTCCCAGCGTGTTCAGCTAAACGGCGGCACAGGGTGTGTGAGCCTGGCGCTGTCACTCTGAGGCACCATGAGAGCAGGTTTCCACATTTGACAAACACGGTACAAAGACTCATGAGTCTCATCTCAAAGATCTAAAGGTGAGCATCACATTAATGTAGAAAACCTCACCATAAGTTGGATGTGTGTGAAACTGCCAAAAGCTGTGTCACTTGTGTATTTCAGTCACAACCTGGTGACACCCAAACCTGCCAATAACTCATTTAACATACAACATATTCAAGCTTTACTTAGAATCTTATCAAAACAGACTGTATCTTCCACATTACTGGCGCACCAGTGTTACAAACAGTCATGCAAACTGACCTGACATCAGCATGCTTCTAATGCCAGAGATGTGCTTATACTTCAGAAAGCAGCCAATGTAAAATATAGGGCAAGTTGTCTTTTAAAACCATCTTTAAAAAAAAAAAGAAGTTCTGCCTGACTACTGCCTCAATTGAACTCACTAATACTATTTGAGGTAAGCTCCAATTTGGACCAACAGAGCACCCATAGAAACAAAAGGATTCAACACTGTACAATGAAGTTCATAACTCCATCAAGAAATGTTGGTATTATGTTTTGTTCTATAATCAAGGGGATACTCTACCTAGATCTTTTTTGATGGAAGCAAAGTTTGAAGCTTCTTGCTTCATCAGAGAAGTGGGTTCAACTGCAGGTTTATGTTTTATGCTGTTGAAAATTAGTAATATTGGTGTGCATTGTGAGTATGACACTTTTTAAAGCATTTAAAAAAATTAGGGACTCTTTAAGACGAGACAATTTTGGTTGCGTCCCACAAATAGACATGTTAAACATCTAAGAACACGTGTAAGGTTCTGCGTTGTAGACTGGTCTGACACACGCTGCAGCATATCCTTCTACTTCACCTTTTATTCCTACATCCAACTGCTGCTGACTATCACTCTAACACGTTCTTTTATGAATGTCAGGAAAGCATCTTAAAATAAAATTAATGTAGCTGCAAGATGCAATTAGACACTCAATGTGGCAATTCTACAAAAAAGGCCCTTAAAGCGTGAAGCACTTTGAAATGCTCTGCCATTATGTCCTTGACAGTTAAAGATGAAAACAGTGGACACTTATCTGATTCTCAATGTGAGACAAATTGAGGTAAAAAAACATGTGATAACACAATACATAGACGAGCTGACGTCTAACCATTTCATGGAAAAACGAGTTCAATCACCAGCACATCAACACCACAACAACAGTATACATAACACACGTTAATGAGTGGCGCCATCCAGTGGTGGGAACCGGCAACTACAAGAGTTATACGAACAAAAACTGCTGATGTTTAGCACAATCTCAATAAAGAAAGAAATCACTCATTCCAATAGGAACTTATGTGAAGTATGACTGTGGCTGTAACAAACACACCCATATATACATCAGTTAAAACTATAAAATAAAAAATATAAATATTTACAAGAACTTGGTGTTGCTTGTACACCGTTGAATATAAAAACAACAAACTGACTTTTGAAGTTAAATATCAAAACACATTACTCATCATACTTTAGGAGCATGTGATTGGATCTAATTATTACAGTTGCAACATTTTTTTAATTAGAGTGTACGGCTGCAACTTGTGAACACTTAAATTATATTTGGCAAAGTCATTATTGCCACATGGGCTTGTACCATGCTTTGGCGAATGAACTTGAGCTTTTCTCCTTCCCCCACCTTTTTATTTTCTCTACTTCATTCTCTCGGCGTCTCTACGTTTTTCTTCTTGAGGATTTTCTTCAGGGATTTGGTCATGTAGTAGGGCCGGAGAGGAGAGCCGTCGTGCGCCTCCAGATCCCACACTAGGAGGCAGCAGTAGCAAAATGTTAAAAACTGCAATGGAAATCGCACTGGACAATACTTAAACCATTCATTTTTATTCCAAAAAATGTATTCACATTTTCATTGATAAAAAAAATTCTTCTATACAAAAAAACCACTGAATAACCTCCAGATAGATGCGTGTATTATACTTAGTATTAAAACAGCAATACATCTGAACCATACCAATAAAAAAGTTACCAAAAATGGCTTTGACATCCTTTTATAAACTGTATCGCAAAAGGTTCCTTGTGTTAGGTCTATAACCACAGAATAAGAGGAACATTTTTTTTCTCACAACTAGGCACATGAACTAGTGGCTGCATTCAAACGCTTCCTGAAAACTGCCAGGTCTTGTTCAAATACATTTTTTAAACCATGAATGTCTTTTGAAGTCTTGACCTCCCACACAGTCTCCGTCTTGTTTACAGTACATCTATGAGCATAATGGAAACTTGGAAATGATTGCAACCTTTTTCTTAAATGGTGTAAAATAACCTGTTTTTCCTAGTGCAGAATTATACACCATTTTTGGATCTGTGCGTTTGTGATATATAAATACGGTGGAACAAAAGCAACCTATAAAATCAATGGTAAACATCCACAGCCAGCAACATAATCATGCTTGACAGAAGAAATAAAACACATGGTTCTTTTCCCATATGTGAAAGTGCATACAAAACATGATTTTACACTAGAGGACCAAAGTGCGACAAGAGGGTGTCCCATAACTCCACCACGTTGTCATGGTGAAGCCTTATGCCATAGTCTATCAGGGGCATCTGTACATCTTAAGGTCCTTATGTTCGTTTGGGGGGAAAATGTTCATATTTTATTTATATCGGCCTATGCGTTAGTCCTGCGAGTTAACATGTACCCTCTCAGTAAGGCAGAGGTCAGCAGAGAATACAGAGAAGAAAAAGAAAATAGGCGTGGCAGAAAAAAAGGCAAGTATCTGAGTTGGCTCGAGAGATGAAGTAAACTGGTCTTCTTTAGTCCGCCGTGCCTTTTCTGGGTGGAACTGAAGTGAAAGCATGTCCTTTCATGTCCAGGCCATCCCTGACCAGGCTGGGATGCATCCAGTTTTGATGTTTAGCCCTACAGTACTTGCTCTCAAACGTCCAGACCCCCACACATACAGAAGATATGGAGAAGTGAGTGAGAGTCAGCAGTTTAGTTTTGGCCGCACATCGCTCAAGAGGCAGCGCATGATTTGGAACCCTCCTCTCCTTTGCGCAGGATCTTGTGCAGGCCAGGAGACATGTAGTAGGGCCTGAAGGAAGAACCATCATTCCTCTCCAGGTCTTCACCTGAGACCAGGTCCCAGCACGGGAGAGCAGGAGGAGCAGGAAGAGCAGACAGTGACAGACAGACAGAAAAAGCAAAGCAAAGACTTAGTAGAGAGAAATCATTGAAAAGAGCATGCAAGAATTAGAACTGAATGAGCAAGAATCAGTTTCAGTTGTTATAAGAGCCAGTTTTAAAGAGGGAAAGAGTTACATTCAGCTGCTGACAGGCTACTTGACATTTAACCATCATAGCAGCGCTTATTTCATGTAGTCATATTCCCGCACTATGTCATGCAAAGCTCTGAAAAAAAACAGCATACTTACAAAAGCACAGGAACAACGTGTCCACGCACATGGCATAGACATTAAAAAATCCATGCGCAATCATGTAGGATCCAAATATCACCGTCTGAAAAGATCATACGGTCGTAGTCAGTATGCTACGTTGTCAACATTGTTATGCAATTCTGTTTTATAAGGCATTCCAACAAACACCAGGAACATCAGGACAATACGGACCACTGAGTCATAAATATTTTAACAAAAGCAAATACCCTGTGCAATAACGCAATCTGAACTAAATGAATACAATTAATATAAATGCAGTCCAGCAACTTTCCACAACTGAGAAAATGTTTAAAACTCAGTGAGCATCGATCTATGCCACACATCAGTGAAATATATCAGTTGTTATTGCTGGTATGATTACTCATTAAAACATTTAAATTCCTTACCACAAGGGGGACCCAGTAGTAATTTAGGGATGGCACCTCCTCTTGAATGACTGGTATTTTACGTGTGAAGAAGAAAAATGCAAGAACACCTGCAAAAAAAAACATTGGAGTCTATTTTCTTGTCAAATCTTTAAAGTGATACTTAACAAATATTTTAAGAACAAACATTTAAGGGATTTTAGACTAATTGTCCAAGACGCTTGCAGCAGCACAAATACCTCTAACAGGGTAAATATTAAGGGCCTACAAACACACATATTTGTTCTGGAACAATCAGATCACTAAATCTGGACATAGACGAGTGGTATAATATAACTAGGATTCATGTTGATTAATGTTTAAATTATTATTTCATCATTTAAATTGAATTTAAGGCCTTCTTAAATTGAATGTCAGAGATTTACTTCTTTTCACTGACCGGCAGACGACCTGTGCAACAGTCAATTTCAACTTATAATGACACAAACTGAACAGAAATAGAGTATGGCAGATATAAACAGCTGGCTGCGCGCAGCTTCGCGACTAATCCAGTCGGAGCCGCAGGCTTACTCGTTCTCCAGGAGCTGTGGCCGGCTGCGCAGAAACTTAGATCGGACAGGTTGGTGTCGGCTTGGTCGGGCAGGCGCAGGGCGTGAAGGTCCTGCCGTATCTAGACGACTGGCTGGTCTGCGCGCCGTCCCCGCCTCAAGTGGCCCAGGATACGGCGCTCCTTTTATCTCACGAAGCCCGGTTGGGTCTAACAGTAAACACCGGGAAGAGTTGCCTAGACCCCTCCCAACAGGTCACTTACCTGGGGATGGTCCTAGATTCAGTCGCCATGAGGGCCTAGCTGACACCTCGTCATGCGGACGACATTTCCCACCTTCTTCCCATCTTCAGGCTGGGCAAGAGGGTGCCTTACATTCATTTCCTCCGGCTCTTGGGCAGACTGACGGCTGCCTCAGCCGTTGTGCCCTTAGGCCTGCTGTCGCTGCGCCCCATGCAGATGTGGCTGAACAGCCTTCACTTGGACGCCAAGTGGCACAGGCACAGGAGAGTCAGGGTGTTTCAGCGGTGCCTCCACTCTCTGTCCCGCTGGAGGGACAGGGCCTATCTTCTGATGGGCGTGCCCATGGGCGCCATCCCATCCCGCAGGGAGACTGTCACTGTGGATGCATGTCTCTCAGGGTGGGGTGCGGTGTGGCAGGGCAGGACTGCTCAGGGTCAGTGGTCTGCCCAGGAAGGTGCACGCCATATCAACGTGCTAGAGCTTCGGGCTGTGCTGCTTGCACTCATGCACTTTTTACCCCAACTGGCGGGCAAGCATGTGCTCGTTCGTTCCGACAACATGTCCGCTGTGGCCCAAATCAACCACCAGGGGGGCACCAGGTCCGCACAGCTGCTCCGGGTTTCACAGAGCCTCTTGTCTTGGGCCCCCGCCTGGCCAGTCTGCGGGCAGTCTTTCTACCAGAAGACCAGAATCAGGTCTCAGATTTCCTCTCTCTGCACAAGCCTCCGGAGTGGAGGCTTTATCCAGAGGTGGTGGAGACAATTTGGAGCCTTTTCGGCAGGGCCGAGGTGGACCTCTTTGCCTCAGAAGAGTCGAGGCACTGACCCCTCTGGTTCTCCTGGGCAGAGGTGACCAGCCCGATGGGTCAGGAGCGGACGCTCTGACACGACTGGCCAGACAGGAGACTGGCCAGACAGTCTCCTGTATGCCTTCCCGCCACTGCCTCTGATACTACAGACGCTTCAGAGGGTCTTTACTCAGGGGCACAGGCTCCTTCTGGTCGCCCCCCGCTGGCCGGGGAGAGTTTGGTTCCCACTGCTGCACAGTCTCTGCTGCAGCCCACCATGGCGTCTCCCCGACAGGAAGGACCTTCTGTCACAGCTCAGGGGTCAGATCTGGCATCCCGACCCTCACCGCCTTCAGCTTTGGGCTTGGCCTCTGCGGGGCCAACCCGCTGTTGAGCATTTTCACGGCATCTGTCAGGGAAACTATCCTGAATGCCAGAGCACCATCCACTCGAGCGCAGTATGAGTGCAAATGGAAGCTCTTCTCCCACTGGTGTTTGGGTAAGGCTGAGAATCCGGGGCATTGCTCTGTGGCCACCATTCTAGAGTTAATAATAATAATAATAAATTCGATTTGTAAAGCACCTTTCATTGCTAACAGCAATCCCAAGGTGCTACAGGAGGCATAATAAAAACAAACAAAAGTTTAATCAAAAGCTTTTTTTAAAAGAAAGGTTTTTAGGCCTTTCTTGAAGGCGTCAGTGGTCTGTGGAGTCCTCAGGTGGTCTGGGAGGGAATTCCACAGGTGAGGAGCAGCTGCACAGAAAGCCCGATCCCCCATTGTGCAGAGTTTGATCCTCGGGGGGCGAAGCCGATGGTTGGTTGTGGAGCGGAGGTTGCGTGTGGAGGTTTGTGATGTGAGAAGTTCCTTCAGTAGTGCGATCTTGTATTCGATCCTGAATGAGACAGGAAGCCAGTAGAGGGAATGAAGAACGGGTGTGATGTGGTTGTATTTTCTCACCCTCATCAGGATCCTAGCGGCACTGTTCTGTACGTATTGGAGCTTCTAAAGGCTCCCGCTAGGAGTCCCGATGAGGAGAGCGTTGCAGTAATCGAGCCTTGAGGAGACGAAGGCATGGACCAGTTGTTCAGCATCTGACAGGGAGAGTGTGGGACGGAGTTTTGCAATGTTCCTGCAGTCCCTTCTGGATAGTGGACGTTCTCACTCCACTTTGAAGGTTTATATGGCTGCTATCTCTGCCCGACATGTTGGAGTCAAAGGCGCCACGGTCGGGCACCACAGGTTGGTGTCCCTCTTCCTGAGAGGGGCTTTACGGCAGCGTCCCCCTAGCACCCCGAGGGCTCCGGCTTCGGACCTGCCCCTAGTGCTGGATGCCCTATCATCTCCTCCCTTCGAGCCCCTGGCCCAGGTGGGGCTTAAGTGGCTGTCCTTGAAGGCAGCATTTCTGCTTGCCATAACCTCAGGGAAGCAAGTTGGAGAGCTACATGCCCTCTCCGTGAGCGATACATGCCTGAGGTGGAACTCCGATGGCTCGGGTGTTGCCCTCTGGCCGAATGTGGCGTTCCTGCCCAAGGTGCTTCCACTAGCCCACTCCAATCGGCCTATCCAGCTGGCACGCTTTAACATTCCACAGGAGAGCGGCACGCCTGAGTTGCTGTGCCCTGTGCGTGCCCTAAGGGCGTATATTGATGCTACGGCCTGTATACGGCGGTCAGAGCAGCTCTCTGTTTGCCACTAGGAAGGGTCGTGCTCTCTATAAACAGCGGCTGTCCCACTGGGTTGTCGATGCCATCTCACATGCCTATGGGGCCAGTGGCCGCCCCCCGCCATCAGGGCTGAGATGCCACTCTACAAGGAGCATCTCAACATCTCGGGCTGCCCCTGGAGACCATCTGTGCCACGGCGTCGTGGGCGTCTTCTGGCACATTCTCCAGGTTTTTAATCGGGTTAATGTCGCCACCCCCCACCCTTTGGGCGTGGTCCTGTTGCCGAGCTCCGCTGCTTCCAGCTAGGTAAGTAAGTGCTTGGATTCTTCATGACATTGTTGATATAAGACCTCCAGTGCTAAAGCACCGCCAGAGTATCCTGTCACTCAGAATTATTGTGTGCTCGCGATAAGATTCTGGGAACAGATCCTCTGACGACACCGGCATATACATACATACATAGCCGGTGTCACGTGGGTCACAGGTGACTTTGTTGTTATTGGTACTCGAGCTGCGCATGCGCGTGATGGACATATGCAGTGCTAAAGCACCGCCTCTTGCGGTCATCCGGGACTCATAGAACCATAGTTACAGACGTAACTATCGATATCTCACTCTGTCTGTCACTTCACAAACTGCAGGTGACATGCAACTCACCAACACTTCCTGAAATAAGCAGTTTTCCCAAGAAAAGCAGAAAGTCTGTCACATTGTCCAGGACAGCCACCCTGCAGAGGACACAGAGAGAACAAAGTGGTGGAGAGACACAGACACAAGAAAAAAAGACAAGTTAATGTCATGCACAGACACGTAGAGTGCACCCAAAATAACGACATGATAAGTAGGGTAATTAGGAATAATGTGCAGCTGCTTGAAACACGGATTACTTGATTGTTTCACTAACTTACATACAGTGAATACACACCATTTTTGTTGTTTTATAATCTAAATATATTTTCTTTTCCTTGGTCTGACATGTTAACGGAGATTGTCTCAACAGCAGTTCATCTGTACAATAGATCTTACACAGAACTATAAGAAAGGCCTTACCGAATAATGTTCCTCATCAAAAGGAAGAAAGCATCCTTGGAAGAGGTGCAGAAGTTCTTTCCATATATTGCTATCTGTTGATGAGACAAAAGTAAAGTAATAACACATTGAACCAGGTTACAGGTTATTCAAGTGCAAAATGAAATGGAATCTTGCAGTAAATCGGTCCGAAGCAGGTGTTTCTTAACTCACCATGATGTATGCATTTCTGTTCATGAACTTGATGAAGTCCTCCAGGCACCAGAAGCAGCATTTGAGACAGCAAAGCAGGAATCGAGCACATGAGTTTTCAGAACCTGGGAAAACATTATTGACCATCAACACCCCATTTGACATGGACATTTGATTATTTTAGAAAGGTTAGTATTTTTTAAGTTAGACAGCTTACCTTTCAGTCTGGTATGCACATACTCGAGAACTATCCGGATCATCTGCACCACAGCGAGGATCAGAGAACCGAAGGCAAGAGAACCTGTGTGATAGCTAAGACACCAGAAAACCGAATAGTATAAAAGACATTTCCATTCAAATCTTAGTAGTTTCAATCATGGATGTATAATAAGAACTGGATACAGCGTGGGAGGCGGGGCCTCGTTCATTCCTATGAGAGTTGCTCATTGGCGCATGAAGACAAAATGGCCCAACTTTTGAGAGAGCGAAACGTCACGAAAGTATTCATATAATCATATAATCCGTTCTTATTGTGCATCCATGGGTAAAGGTAAAACTCATGTAGTACTGAAGGTCCCGTGGGTTAGATCCGCGTTCATAATGCCGAGGAAAATAACTCTCAGAATAACGTTATTAGCACATTTTACAACTTGAGGACCGAATGTTTTTAATAAGGGCTATACAAATGTTCATACTGGGTAGTTTATTTAGTTAAAAAAAAATTATCCAACGATTTACAGACGTCTCTTTCCCAATGTTAGTCAATGGGAAAAAGTCTTAGCGACTGATACGGAAGTGTAGTACCGCCGTTTGGCCACAACAAATATTTTCCTCAGAGTCTGGCGCACTTCCTGGGGGCTTGGTTTCAATAGATGCTTTTTTTTTTTTTTTTTAAATGACATGACTGATTTTTTTTTATTAACTAAAGCAGGTAAATCCCAAATGTTACTAATTCAAATGTTTGGGGTAAAGACATATTTTTACAGCAGTGGACAATTGACATGTACAAAGGTGACCTGTAACAGCTCCGTACCGTATGGCTCGGCTGAAGGAGGAGTAGAGGGGGCTCACTGGGATGTTGTCGGGCTTCTTCAGGGCCCAATAGTAGGACGCGAAGGCCCCGGCCAGGGTGCACTGTCCCAGAGCGATGGTGAAGTTGACCAGCCAGAGGAACATGAACAGGTTACACAGGTGGAGCACCAGGATGTAGCGGTGGTACATGGTCTCCCCACCGTAGAAGGCAAACATGCATTGGGCTCCGGGGCACACTTTGGTAATATTGGTCTCACTGAAGGTCTGAAAAGATGCAACACAATTTGAACTTAATAATGTGATTTGCCTTATTGTTTCAGTTGCATCCAATTCATAAAAAGGCAAACTATTCAAATACACTTTTTTATCTCCTCTGTTTTGCATGCTACTGAATAATCTGTTAATGTATCTCTTTGAGGTAATCCTGCCTTTATTAAAGCTTGTGTGACCACATCAATCATACATCTTTGTTGACTCTCACAATATCCCACACACACCAAGCAGGCAGGATGATGAATAACATGTGTCAAATTAAATAGTTCAAAGCCGTCACTGACTAACTCTATTTACATTAGAGCCTTAGAGATTGATTCTTCAAGCTCACTGCCAGCTATCAGATTTCACTTGTAGGCAATTATAAGAAGCTATTACATTTGCTCTGATTGATTACAGTCTGACCAAGACATATTTGACAGAGATAGAAGTGGCAGAGATATTACACATTAACAAAAATAACAGTTACACCAGTGATTTTCCAGAAAATGGACGTTAGAGAGTGAGGGACTAACGTTTGGGCTGCATGTGAGGTTGGCATACATGCATTTATCGTCAGCAGGTGTGACCTTGTAGACTGCATTACCAGATGATGCTAAGAAGCTGAGGGAAAACTAGTTAAGGGCAACACAGATGGAATATTTCTTAGTACTTTCTATACATTTGACATACAATAATCCATCTTGTGCATCCAGACTTTACAGTGTAAGATCTATGTCTAATGACACAAGATGTTTCCATATTGCTCTTGCTTTTAAAAACATAAAGCACAAGGGGAAATAAGCACAATTTTCTAAAACTGCATCATCTATAGCAGTGCATGATCTGTTTAGTGACATGTTTTTTTTATACATTATCATTAACGAAGACTGCACACACAGAAGTCTCTGGGGGAAACAGTTCATCAAATCACCAACAGTTTAGAAGGATACACTGCTGTGACGGCCCAGTAAGCGATGCAGATGGCCAGGAGGAGAAAGGTGATGATGGGGTAAAAGAGAGTGGACATGACGTAGCTGATGGCCCTAGTTGTAAGAAAGATAAAAAAAAAATTTAATTGTGTGAAAGAAACTGTCAAAAGAACTTTTTTATGTTGAAGGACACAACAGAGGTTTTGTTCATACGTACTTGCTTCCCTCCTTCATTAATGCAATAGCGATGCGCAGCCTCCTCCTCAGAAATATCAGTATAATCACAACAACGGCCTCAATCACAGAAAGTGAGATCACTACAAAACAAATGATACGTTATATTATTAGTCAATGCACACGCCAAGTTTGACAGCAGACACGCTGCCCTATGTTAGGTACAGACAGAGGTGAGAAAGAGGACAAGCCGTCATAGCTATGGGACAAACAGAACACAGAATGCAGAGCTGAAAGCAACCGCATATTAGAGAGCTCTAATTCAGCTCCCTGAAAGCCACTGCAACTCTGTCTATAGCACATTTAAAGGTAGGGTAGGTAAGAATGGAGAAACCAGCTCGAGTGCGCTAGAATTTGAAAGTACACAACCGGAAAAAATCTGCCTCTTCCTTCAGACTTCCTTACAGAGCCCCTCCTCCAACACACACGAACGCGCACATGACCAATGAGGGCACGAGATAAGTTTGTGCACAGATGGAAGGCTGACAGGCAGGTAGGCCATCCAGCTATTTTAGCCAGGCCGGCTCAGATGATTGGTCGTGCTTTTTACAGTACTACGGCTTACACAGATGACATTTTTTTATGTATTTATTGTCAAAGCATTTAATGTATTCATTGCTATCGGGATGTTAAGAGCATTCCATGGAATATAACAAAAAGTGCGTCTGAAGTGAATTACCTACCCCACCTTTAAATGGTTAAATATTGAATCTAACACACGTTTGGATCATATCCAGCACTGTTATGTAAACTTCTATTAATATCTTGATCAAGGTAGCCAACCCCATGACCACCAGGGGGCACTACCTCATTCTCTATGTTTTTGGACACATCAAGTAGTAGATGACTGGATGTTTTTAAGAAATAAGCCACAAAACAATAGCAACAATCTTTCCTAATTCCTATCCACTGCTGCAGATGGACACCTATTTACAGTCAGGGTTCATACACTTTTTCACTAATGATTTTCCATGACCTTTACCTAATTTTCCATGACCAAAAAAAATTACTCTTTCTCAGCGGTACCACTGAAACATTTTTATTTTAACATGATAAGCTGGAAAATAAGGTCTGCATATGAAACATGTTGTGCTAAAACAAATCAAATAGTAGGCTTACTAGCTCCTACAGACTAAAGCACTGTAGACTAGAGGGCGTGATTGTAAAAATCTCTCACCAGCAAAATACCTCGACAGTTAAATAACATTTTACGTTTCATTACTATACGATACAGTATTTATTATCGTTATAGTATTACTATTTCGGCGATTAGATCAAATATAAATTATATTTGATGCAACTTTGGTTACATTTCCATGACTTTTCCAAAACTTTGGGAAAAATATTGTTTTCCATAACATTTCCAGGGCCTGGAATTTGCATTTTGAATTTCCATGACTTTTCCAGGTTTTCCAGGACCGTAGGAACCCTGTACAGTATACTACTGTATTACAATAGTCGCTGCAGAAGGTTTCATTTTCCATAAAAAATGTGAGGAGCAGACGGTAAGTAGTCTATGGCATGTCTATGGTATTCTGTATGTATGTCACTTTGGATAAAAGAGTCAGCTAAATGCCATGTAATGTAAATATGGCTGAGAAAAACAAGCATTGTACTGTGGATTAGGGTTTCACAGTAAAACGTTTTTATGTAAATTTGCGGAAGCTAGGTGACAACATACTGAAGATGAGCCACGTTTGGCTGAGCTGAAGGTAAATGCTGAAGTCTGTTTGGAAGCCGATGTCAGAGATGGTGACATTAGCACCTGGCTTCCTGGTCAGATTGCTGTACTCCCAGTAGCAGTGCCAGATACCTGAGAGATGCAGAGAGAAAGAATGAGAGCCAGGAACAACAGATGAAACCATGTGAGCAGAAATCTAAATCTGCCACAGTTTGCCATGACAACAGAAGTTAGGAATTCAAATGTAAACATGTGGAGAACAACTCCAACATGTGTACTGAGTATAAGGTAGCAAAAGGTGATGAGAGGTTACTGTCTGAAGTGAATACTCACCAAAGCCGATCACAGTGATGACACTAATGATAATGAGCCACAGGAGCACCCCAGCAGTGTAGCGCAGCAGCAGGATAAAGATCAGACTGACCACCATGGTAATCACCAGACCTCTGAAACAACACAAAAAGGAATACATAATGTAGAAGGCAGAGTTCCCGAAAATGAAAATGTCCGATAAAGTTTAAATCTTCCGGACAAAATTAGAAAAGTGCCGGTCAAAGGTCTTCTTTGTTATTTATTGAGCTTTAAAACAAATTGATATGATTCGATATTAAACAAACTAATTATAGTAGATTAACTATTCAAACATGTACAGTAACTTACAATAACACGGGAATAATAAACGGAGCGCTCTCTCCCTCTCCTGACAGCCCGCCAGTATCATGCAGCTCGCGGATCCAGTAATGAGTGACCCGACAGTAAAACTAAACATATCTATATCTAGTTTAGGTAGTTTGAGAGGTAATTAAAATAGCTACGTGTGATATTCTAACCTGAAGTGTGTGTTTTGCTCCGCTCACCGCTGCAGGTGATCATGCAGAGCTGCGTGTCGACTCGTCAGCAGCAGCTGATCTCTCTCTCTCTCCCGTCAGATTAGACTTTACTCGCGTTTATGTCCATATCGATCAGATCTAGCTAGTTCTTTTTTATTTATTTTTTTATTTTAATCGTTTATTTGGCAGGGACAATGCACAGTAATGAACACTTAAAACATTCAAATGTGTCAAGCGCAACAGTGCCAGATTTAGCTTTGAGCTAATTTCCATCCGCAGTCCCTCACATAAAACATTTAAGAAAATTACATTTTACAAACATAGCAAAAACAAAATACATGATATGCAAAAAGTGCAAAAGAGCAAGAGCAGCATACACAAGTATTTATGACATGGTAATACAATATAGCAGCAACGACATGTAAAGTGCAAGAGAAGATACAAGAGCTACATAAAGTGCAAGAGGAGATACCCCTGTGTTAAAGTGCATTTAGCGGTGATTGCACGTCTGTTTGTTTCTCAACCATTCTTTTAGTTGACCTTTAAAACTATTGAGAGTGGGACAATCCCGTATCTCAGTTGGGAGGCTATTCCAGAATGAGCTGCCTTTAACGGAGAGGACATTTTGTCCAAAAGTGGTCCCTCTGCGGTGGACTTCACAGTCTCCTCTGGTTTCTGACCTAGTGCAGCGTCCACTGTGTTTCTAGCTAATGATATGGCTACCTGCTTATCAAGACACCTAAACAATAGGCGTCGCTATGCAACCGGGTGAGGTCGCAAAGTATAGCGCAGCATTATGCATTTGTTTACATGCCCACCGGAACCCCGAGGCATTACCAACAGATCAACGCATAATCAACCCATACAGGACATCTCTTTCTCCACATTAAGTGTTAGACATTAGAATTTACTATTTGTGTCTGTCACATACGCTTTTGTCTGTCACATACTATTCTTGTCTGTCACATAAGTGGCGCAACTGATGCGGTATTGCGCTAAGGGGAAATTATTTTGACCGGACATTTTTCTAACGGGAACTCTGGTATAAGGCAATATTTGACTAGTAAATACATTTATTTGGACTTTAACATACATTCAGAAAGATGTTCTGTAAATAGGAATTCATCAAATGCTATTTTTTGCCTACTTTTATAAATTCCAAGCCGGTCAGTTGGAGTTTCTGTGTATAGTTATAGGGTCAAATTGTTAATGATTTATTTAGTTTCATAATTTATTTTACGGATAGATCCACAGACACGCAAAAGGAGCACATAATTCATCAGAAGTAAAACGTGAAAATCAACAAAAGCAAAAGCACAATCTTACATGAGGATCCAGTCCCAGGAATTTGCATAATCTTCAAAGATTTTAATGCCGACTTCATTGACATTGAGCAGACTGGCGATACCTCTGTGAGGGAGCAACAAGGTGAGATGGGAAAGAGTTGGAAAGAAAAGAGGCGACAAAAACATTATTATGAATTAAGAGATAAAGAGAGACTGTGACAGCGTTGTGTTTCTGCCTCTGATCATTTATTTACAAAGGTTTCTCTTCAAAAACATTTTGACACTTTATTTATCTATAATGTGCTTATTATGAAACAAAGATGAATACAGTTTCAAAATGCTTTTGGTTTTTCAGCCTACTTGTTAGGTTATGAGGGTCTGGAGAAACATATTGTAAGTTTTATATCAAAGAGCCACAAAACTGAATTAGTGTGACTAAAGCGCTATGGATCAATAGTTCCTTCAGTATGGTGGCAAATGGTTTAGCAGCATGTTACTGGATGTGATATAGAGGAGGACAGAGGGTGTTGCCAATCCAAAACCTGCTCATTTCTTTTCAGAGTTCAGGTAAGTCTTTGATAACCAATGAAAACATAATAAGTGAAATTCTTAACATAAAAGACTCAATATAAATAGTATTGTTTTAGAATATGTTTTACTTGTCACCTGAATATATTCTTATTTCAAAAACCCTAAATGATCTTGGACACTTTGCTTAAAGGTAGGGTAGGTAAGAATGGAGAAACCAGCTCGAGTGCGCTAGAATTTGAAAGTACGCAGCTGAAAAAAAATCACATGACCAATGAGGGCACGAGATAAGTTTGTGCACGAGATGGAAGGCTGACAGGCAGGTAGGCCATCCAGTTATTTTAGCCGGGCCGGCTCAGATGATTGGTCGTGCTTTTTAAAGCGCCACGGCTTCCACAGATGACATTTTTTAATGTATTCATTGCTATCGGGATGTTAAGAGCATTCCATGGAATATAACAAAAAGTGTTTCTGAAGTGAATTACCTACCCCACCTTTAACCTTCTCCTGGGCAAAGATACTTAAAGACAAATGATGCAGCATAAAAGCAAACATATTTCTTGTCCAATTCTATCAGTGTACTCAAAGGACCTTGGGAATGGAGACCAGGAAAAGACTTTGATGCCGAGATCTCCACTGGGAAATATAACTACACGAATCTCATCGTCAGAACATGACTTCTGCAAAATGTGACCGCAGACACGGTGCTCTATGAGATACATCTGTAAAGTACAGACAGAGGAGAGAAAGAGGACAAGCCAGCATTGCTATGGGACAAACAGAACAGTGAGAGCAGAGCTGAAAGCAACCATATATTAGAGAGCTCTAATTCAGCTCCCTAAAAGGTCACTGCGACCCTGTCTATAGACCCAAGTTTGGATCGTGTCCAGCACTGTTATGTAAACCTCGCTTCATATCTAGATCAAGGAAATACACCACCAGGGGGCACTACGTCACGCTGTATGTTATTAGACACTCAAAGTAGTAGATGACTGGATGTTTTTTCAGATATATGCCACAAAACCAGGGACGTGCACAGGTACGGGCTAATGTTGCCCGGGCAACGGCCCGTTTGCCCTTTTTGGCTGACCTGCCCCTCTGGAGAGGGCGAGAGTTTGTTTTTCTTTTTTCTGTTGTGGCCGAATCAACATGATAAGCCCACAATTAGTATTGTAGCGTCTCGCTGCGGGAAACACACTTTGTCAGCGCTGTCATCTGCCGGTGCGTTAAGACCACCTCAGTGACGGATTTTGGAAACTTGATTTTGAGTTGTCTCATGGCAGTTAGGGTATAAGGGACAAACCAGGGGACTTCACTTCCTCTTGATACCGTCGGTTATTAAAAAAAACACCTAAATATAGCCTACTTGTTATTGTGCTTCTGTCTTTCTGTGTCTTTTCATCTGTAAACTCCCTCAACGGGGCCGCTCGCTCTCTTTTCTTGATCGCCCTCTCTCGGGAGAACACTTCACTGTCCTGCTTCATTGTAGGAATTCTGCCATGTCTCTAGCACTTTAGTTTGACCATCTCTGTTATTAAGTTATGGATTACTAAATAAATAAGTAATTAGATACCTTACCGTTACTGCGCTCATAAAGAATGATAAGAATAAGAATAATGCGTATTGAACTGGTTTCATTCATTAGTGAGTTTATTTAAGGTAATTAGTTAGAGGCCCTATTTTATCAGTATTTTCTGCACAGATGGTCAAACTACATTGGAACAGAATTGTCCCCATTTTGTCTTTAATAGTTACTAACATTAGATATTTTAATGAGATATGGACCGCAAAACAAAAAATGTCCCTGGTTTTCATTTTTAAAATCAAGTCACCGAATGCTAGTAGTCGCCTTAGCTTATTTTGTTATGAGATGATGATGTTAATTACTGTTCAATTTAGTTGATGTAATAATCGTTTGGTTTCTTTTACATTAAAAACAAGTTATAATTTTCAAAAGGTCTTATGGTTTTTTTTTCAGGGGGGGGGAGGCCCTTTTTCCAGTTTAGAGCAATAGCCCCTCCGTGCACGTCCCTGCACAAAACAATTATATTAATCTGTTCTAATTCATGTTCACTGCTGCAGGTGGAGGGAAGCAGGGGCAGATTATTCACGATGAATAGGAAGGGTTAGTCTACACAAAGCTACTGGCTACAGCGGAGGCAAAGTTAAAAAGCTGAAATAAATCATTTCTTGAGACCTTTCCTCTCCTTGCTGCACGGCAGTTACTTGGCTACAAAGAGAAAAGCATTCAAGCACATTATCCTTCATGGTCATTCAGGCAAAACTAAAGTGAATTATAGCCAAACAGGATCATGTATGTAAATAATATCAGCTCACTTGTTTAAATACATGAATTCTCTGTTTCTCCAAAGTTTGAAGCCATTTTAGCCAATTAGCATGTTGATAGCGTATATTTACATAGCTGCTTTTGTAAGCTTGTACTCCTGAAGTTCTGCTCTTGAACTTGTGAGTTAGCTGCATTTTCATGCAATAAACATGCAAATGATTTTGAATGTGGTTGGACACATTGCTGGGCATCATTGACGTCAGTGACATGCCCACTTGTCCTACCCTGTAATTTCTGTCCAGAGCTCTCTGGGTGCAAAGTTGGCAGCCCTATTGACAGTTTAAGAGTTCAGAACAACTTATTTTGCAGGGTATTTTTTATGAATATTCTTTTACAACAGCAAAAACGCCCATTGGCGATCTAAAGTAAGTGACGTTTCTGTTTGAACAACACAACTGGTTGAATAAGAAGAAATAAAGGATTGTGTTGGAGGGGAGGAGATCTTACTTGGCAGCATCTTTAAGGTCGTTGACACTTCTCTTGTTATTGTCACCGTCTTTGAAGATGGTCTGGTTGGCTACAGTTAAAGTTCCATTTCTCGTAATGAAATCGGGGAAGCACCGTTGAAGAACTGAAATACATTTGAAAAAAAATGTTTGGTCTTTTTAGTGGCTTGGCAAACAAATAATGAGCTATGTGTGAATGTGCAGTTATTCAGATTCACTTACAAGGTCTGCTTGGCACAATCATAGAAGGGCAGTCTTCATCTCGTATGACTTCAAGTACTGTCTGAAAGTGAAATGAAAGAGAATCAGCAATTGAAAACAAGATATTTATCTTTGTATTCATCATAGATAAAAACAGAGAGGAGGGCCTTTTCTATTCAATTAACTGATTGACTTTTGACTGTCCCGTTGTATCTGTATCCGTCCTGTGGGTTTCTGTATTGATGTAAGATCTTGTGTGCCTGGCTGTCTTTTATAATAAGCAATAGGGGAAAAAACGTTTTGATTCAAACTTCATAAGTCAACTTAAGTTCTAAATTACATTCTGTATTTTTTATATAAAAAGTAACATGAAGTTTAGTCTAGTGACGAAGTGAAGGATAATTATCAGTCCCATGTATAACATAAGCAGGGTATATACAGGAATCCTGAAGTCAAATGTAATACCTTTTAAGACCTTTTTTAAGACCCTTTCCATACATTTTAAGACCTCATCGCCACTTCGAGTTCTAACCGGTTACATTGGCGACACACTTTACCTCACATTTACTATATACAGTATTGATTGTCCTTCCTCCTTCTCTTCCAACCATTTGGACGCAAACTTGCATTTCCCCATAACGATGTTGTTTAACAACCGGCGTAAACGGACCTTCGCACGCCATCAAGCAGTGAGCGTGTGATGTCCTGTTCAGATGACGTCAAATCCAACGGGATGCCATAAATAAACTACACAGAATCACACTACACACCTACGCAATGATTACATTCAGGCAAACTGTAGAATACAACCTCTTTGGACAATTGATATACTTATTGAAAACAAGCTACAAAATGTAATACCTTGGAAAATGCCGTTTAATACTTTTTAATAGCCTTAATTTTCGCTAAATTGATTTATCAACTTTTAATACTTTTTAAGACCCCGCGGACACCCTGAGAAGTAAGTGTAACAAAAAATAACAAAATCCCAATGTTATCCATCTTATTTCAGACATTTTCAATGTTCTGTTATTGTAGCGTTGGTATTATTAACATCATCACGTAAGTCAGACATGACAGGGTTGGATTGAATGCTGTCTGATGCAACACAGTCATACTTGGAAGGATGTGGGAAGGGAAATCATCGACACACTTCAGACAGCATGACTGAGCTGTTGCATGTTCCCACACAACACCTCTCTTTCTGGTTCTTACGCATCATTGGGCCAACGTCAATGAACTGCTGCCAGCCAACAGAACAGGCTGTGATGTGCATCAGTGACTGCTAGCTCACTTCCGGATATCTCTCAAAGCACATTCAAATTAGCTTTTCATTATCACCACTGTACAAATAAAACTGATTAAATCTGAGGTTGGATTGCTTTTTCAATTCAGATCTATTTCTTGTACTTGTAATTAAGTTATACTTGTTGCCTGAATAAGTTGTGGGGACAAGTATGCTCATGTACAGCACCTCAAAAAGTAAGTGACAAACTGGAATATAAACATACCTGGATGTCATACATTGAAGAGGCTTGGAGGTCAATATATGTTTTCATCTTGTTTGCAGAGTGAAAACAGACCACTTAGCACTGTCACTCACCTTGCTGCTGATCTCGAAGCCTGGCTTGCAGAATTGCTTGTAATATTCCCATTTGTTGGTACCCCATGCATCCAGGAGGGTTGAAAAGCTGTCAGGGCACTTGGAGACACAGAGCTGGAAGAGACAACACATCCTCTTAATGAGAAAGCCCATCAATCTTGCATAATCAAGCGTGGCGGTAAGGTTGGAGGGAAACATAAAGCCGAGTGTGCTGCTAGAACGAGCTTCATTCAGTCTCTTACCTGGGTTGTAGGGCACTGGAGGTTAATCAAAACTGCAGGGTTGGCACATTTCAACATGTTGAAGTAGAATAATTTGGCTTTGTTTCTGTGGAGACAAATGATGGAGATATAGAGAGGAGTCTGATTAGAAGGATTGAGAAAACCAGTCCATTACTGCAATGTCTTATCAGCGCGCAGAGGGAGAGAGTATACCGTGCTGCAAAGCCTGCCATAATTAATCACAAACTATCACCATGTATTGTGGTCAAATCCTTAACATAACAGTGGAAAGCTGACAGACAATTTGGGGAACATCATTATTCCAGTGTACAATCATTTAGGAAATGTGTTTTTCCACTCACGCATTGGGGGTGTTCTGTTGCCCACAGAACTGACCACGGCTGTCGGTTGGATAGACGACCTTCCTGGGGTCGCCATGGATCCAGGCTGAAAATACAGCACAGAAGATTTTTGGTTTTTAACATTTGTAACCAGGCTAGACAGATATTCCTGACACTGGCAATGTTACTGTTTTTGTCGACCTACTGAGGCACACAAGATCAACACATTACCCTCCTTTTCAGTCTCCATGACACATGCCATCTGTCTTGGAGTGTGTGAGTAAGAGAGCTTGTTTTTTCCATGTAGCAGTGAAAATGATCAGCTACCTAAAGACATGCAATGTATCATTATTTAAGTACAGCTGCATCAAAGAGGTGATATGAATCATCAGGAATCAAATCCTCAAATCTATGAGTGCATCAGGCCGTCTCTGTGCGCACCCAGCACAAAATATAAGAATCGCAATTAACAAGACAACAATACAAATGGAGATAAAACTCCAAACAAATCAATCCAATTTAATTTGTTTTTGCTTTTTCTGCTTCTCTTGATAGAGGTAGTAGCAGTAACCCTGAAACTCAATTGACTGAGCAACTCTTTGTTTGCCAAACCTGAACAACACCAGGCCTTTCACCTTGCCAGTCAATGAAGGATTGTGCTGAACAGGAGGCAGAAAAATAAATGCAGCCTATAAGTCTTTGACAACAAGGAGAATGGAACTTAATATAGAAAGGACACTGCCTTATTCAGCTGATAGCAGACATGTCAGCTTGCATTCAAATTCACATCCATTGTCATGCCTCCTGCTCTTCTTAAATGATTGGGTCACTCCTTAAAATGCCCAGATTGAGACCATGACTCTGCTGAAAATGGAGCTTGCAAAGGACATAACTTTGATGACCGCACTTTCCTTAAATGTGTGATGTATATTGTATGCGAGTGCATAAAAGAGGGAAGAAAGCAATGTGCAGTCAGGTGTGTTGGATATAATATCATGTCTGGCAGAGCAGGGGAAATTGAGAAAGAAATCAAAGTTGACAGACAGAAGGGAAGGATAATTCAATAGGAAAAAGGAAAACTTGAGGCAAGACAGACAGAATAGAAGCGCTGATGGGGAGATTCATAAGTCTACATGGCCTCAGTCGGTCTCCAACAAAGTGGAATCCCTGTCACGCTTAAGTGAACTTAACAGCTTGGCCAACATTTGAATGAAATGAGAGCCAGAGGGAATCAATGGTGATCCAGTCAAGAAAATTCAACTGGGACCTCAAAACATCATCACCTCAAGTCAAGTCTGCCCGGCTGCAGTTCTCAACTCCTCTGCCATTTTAACAATCAGACATTTATTGAATAGCCCACCATGAAATGATGAATAAACCAAACAAAAAGCATGTTTCAAAATGAAAGTGTTACTATTTAAATTAAGATTGAATATTACGATTACAACTAGAGCAGAACATATTACATCAAGTCTGTTTGGGTCATTAGTAAACATGCGATCAGCAGCAATGTGTCAAACTCACCCACAGTACCCAGCGCGATGTAGCCGATGATGAAAGCGATGAAGATAACACAGCAAACCACATCAGTGCAGCTCCTGAGGGGGGGGGGGGACATGTGCAATAACAAATAAGAGATGTGTGACAGGAAAGATTACAAAAACACATCAGTATCATGACAACAATACATGTAGTATTCACCAGGAGAAATTGGGAGTTTGCCTAATTTCATGGAGAACTATATGAGTTTATTTATTATCAACCCATAGTTTTTAACCATTTCATTGTTGGCACTCATGACAGAGTCGCAGTATGTCAAGTGAGAACAAGCTTCAAATGTGGGTTCAGCGCCTGCTACCAAGGTATAACAAGGTGTCATCTGTATGCTGTGCTTCCAGAGAATCTGTAGAGGAGGTTTACTGACTTTCTAATGAGACTTGGAATCCCCCCCCAGAGTTGACTGTCCCACAGGCACAGAGAAAGCTATTTGAAGATTGCCTTCCCATCCACAGTATCCTCAGCCTGCTGCTTTAAAGAAGCTTCTCAGTCTCTCTCTTTGCTTTTTCACTCTCTCCATTCCACAACGACGTTTCTTTCCCCTTCTTCCCGACCTGTGAGAAGCTGTCATTTCCGGGCCCTTCTTAGCCCTCTTTCAATACTATTCAGACTTTTGGGTACTGAGCCCAGCCTTGAATAAAGCCAAGTTCAATCCAGTGTGCCCAGTAGTACCATGCAACGGATATTCGAAGCCTCCCCCTTACACCATACCCTACACAAATTGACTCGAGACCCTCATCTCCTCCAGCTTTCAACCCGTCGCCTCTTTCATCCACAGGAGTGAAGCCAATGTTAAAAGGAGGCCTGAGCTCAGAGATGTGACAGTGTTTCCTCTGTGTAGTTCTTTGAAGAGTGGATTTTCCTTGTTTTGTATGCAGCATGGTTACATGGTTCTACACCGGCTGCTCTCAGACAGTGAAGAGAGGATGTACACAGAGGAGATCAGCTGAAGATCAACCCATACAAATAAGAGCTTAAATTAAGAGTAATGAACTTATATAAAGATGCAAACAAGAAAGAATCATGCCTTTTTAAACTAGATTCTCAGTGTTACCTCTGAAGATTTAGGGGCGGCTATGCATTATCCAAGACTGTTTGCAAGTGATAGCTAACTTAGGATAGATAGACTTTTATCACATTCCTTATCTAAATGACTTTATGAATGTAGATACCTGCACATTCAAAAATATCTCTACTCAGATCATTCGCTCCGTATTCTCAGGCAAAAATTCAACCATCAGACTTGGACACTGGATGACAAAAGACTAACAAAAGACCAGTTGGTTGCAAAATGAAATAAGGCTTGGGGACTTGGTCTACTTGTACTTGGAAAGCACAACAATTATTTTTGGAAGATAACAGAGAAAACAAAGGCAGCTAAAGTGGGCACAGCTCTGCCTGGTGACAGGAGCCACAGTTTTACTCTGACAGGGAATATGAGGACAAAGACAACCTGCCACACTTCCAGCAAAGCTGTTGCTGATATTGTGCATATTATTAACAAAGGGTGACAAGGGAGTACCATTTCATTCCATCCAATAAAGATCTAGAGGAAGATCTGTCAGGGTTGCCATGGAAATGGTTGCATGTATTGTCTTTGAATCCATGTCTATCCTAAGTTAGCTATCACTCGTAGATGATTAAAAGGGGAATCTGAGGGGCCGTGGGTCTAAAGCCGACCTTGCCTCTCCTCGATCGTAATGTGTTAGTGTAGATCCGTCTCGTTTCCCAACTCCCTCGTATTGACTGCATTATTAAGACAAAATGCACACGCAGCACCACAGTGCTAATACAAAGTCACCTTCGAGGCATGCAAAGGTGAGTTTTGAAGTCGAGCTGACAAAGTAAGGGGAGTGAAAACAATTCTGCTTTGTTGTCTTATCTCTGAAAAGCAGTCCACATCGAAAACTGCAAATCTATTTCGACCCCAACTCGGCCTCTTCAGATGTTAAGAGGAGAAGGACCAAAGCATTGCCTGGCTTGTAAACTGTTCCCGGGGCACAGAGCTGCTTTGAAAGAAAGAATAATCGGTACTTGGAAGATATGTCGGTGCAATATGAAACTTTTGTGTCACTGTTATATTTGAGCCAAGGTGACAGATGGCAGCAGTGCCACAGAATAGCATGGGTGCCATTGTGGTGTGAATCTGCCAGCCTGTCCCTGCTTTGTAACAGACATTAACAGGAAGCGATATGGATGGTCAGATTTGCACAATAAAGTGATATTTCTCATGGTCATGAAAGCCCAGAGGGGTATTGGTTCGAGTGAGCCAAACACGAGGCTCCTTTGGGTGATTTGCTATGATGGCAGCGAACAACTTATTTGTAGTTAAAATGTTTGTGATTGCACATAAAAAAGGCATGACTGCTTTACAATATGGGTGTGCAGTTGTTTCTAATCTGCATTGGTTTTTTACACAGATTATATCAGAGTTTTATATTGTTTACAGCTGGAGCTAGGTTGAATTAACATTATAGCGTGTCCATTTCTCTATGTCATAAAGAGGACTACTCAAAAACCATAGATACAGTTAGTTCATTTAGGCTCCGAGCTTGCGTGAAAACAAGACGACCACTGAGTCAGTTCTCTCCCAGTTCTCATTAAGAAAAGCCTCTGAGCCACAGAAACATCAAAGTATCCTTGGTGCCTTCACCCAGCTGTAGCAGGGAAATGGGCTGGAGAGGGTGGGATAAAGAGGCACAGGAGGACTGAAACATGCCTTCACAGCAGCCTGCCAGACTGAATTGAACATAAAAGAGGTAAGAGCCTAACATCACCTCAGAAAATGACTAAATAATAAAATAAAAACCTGTGGTGAGAGCCTTGAAGATTTGTTTTTGCTTTAGTGCAAAATTCAGCTATTCTCCGTGCCAAGAAATCAAGTGGTCGTAAAATGACTTCATTTTGAATATCTTATATGTATTTATTTTTTAAGAGGAAAATCCTCAACTTTAGGTTTCTGAATGAGCATCACATCTGTTAAGAATGCTAATTTTGACATTAGGTTTTTTTTAATTGTTTTTGGCATGTGACCATACTTCTTTAGTTAAGATATCAGTTTTGTCCCTTGAATTATTCATCCTGCCACATTTATAGGCTATGTGACCCCACTTTTAAGACCCCAATTTTGAGTTGACACGTTCATGTGAACTTCATAGAACATTCTTCTGTATTCGATTTTCAATATATTATCTCGAAATAAGGGCAAAGTGCAAACAATAAATAGCTGCCCTCATGAGGCAGGAGTAGTCAGTAGTCATCTGGAGAAGTGCTACTGTGCTAAAGCCCGGAGTAGACATCTCCCTCCAATAGCTCCGGTGATGTGTGGGCTATATCTCTTTGGGTGTATCTGGCTGGTTAATAGTGTGTGTCATGGGGCTAACTCAGCCACCAGTTAGACTTATGGCCATTGATCTGTGTGCTGAAGTGGAGAGAGCTGCCAGCACTCTGCCTCGATCTTTATTAACGTGGCATGACAAATGATCAATCCATCAGCGCTCCAACTTTGCTGTGTGCCAAAAAGATTATACAATGGGCAAAAATCGATAAACACGTAAGAATCAGATGTTGGAAGATAGTGACTAGTATGTAAAGGGTCAGTTAAGGAGAATTAAAAAACATATTTTAAGTATACATTTATTTTTTAATCTATTGGCATTTGAATTTTGGTTATGTTTTCAGCCGCCTTTCTAATATAATTCAGGTGAAAGGATCTTCATTTCCTGTTATTTAGAGTGCAGTGACTTTATTGTACATTGAGTACATTTTGAATATTTCTAAACAAGTACATTATCATAAGGAACAAATATAAAGCAAAAAGGTGGTGATGTTGAGTATGTGTCATACCTGTTGTGAACAGGCCCTCTGAAGGTGGGGTCAAAGTTGCACGGCTCACCTGTAAAACAAGCAGAGTATAGTGAAAATAGTGTCAATAAGAACACAAAATAAAGTTTAATGACTGAACATAGATGACAGAATGTATGGTTGAACAACAACAGATAAGTGTGGCTATAAAGTTAACAGGCTGTGCTATTTAACTGTCCAAGATGAACTTAATAGGCAATTTCACAGTGGAGGTCTCCTAACAGAACTGAGATTAAGAGGGATGATCGCACGAAAATAAAGCAGTAAAAAACACAACAATGTAGCTAACACAGAAATATGATAAATCTATTGAACAACTCTTAATCTAAACAGCTTATCTGGGTCACAGTGGGGATTCCACATTTGACCAAGCACAGTGAATACTAAACCACGGTTGTAAGCACCAGCAGCTACCCGGGGGGTTAACTCAGACTGCGTGCGCTTGAAGGTGTGAGGAAGCAAGTGCATTTGCATTCATCCCTGACTGCTTCTTTGGTGCCTAAGTAGTCTCTGTACGAAGTATGACGCCTTCCTGAGGACCTACTAATCACCACACATGGAGCGTAATATCTCCCAGCAGCTGGGGCAGACTGAGTGGGCCTGTCTCCCATCTGCCCATTCCCCAAATGTATCCCTTCAAAGACGTGTAAGCCAAACTCGTTTCTAAAAGTGTGAGGAATGAGTCCGCTGTAATACGTACATGCAAATCATGTTCTGAATGTGCTATGAAATTGATTAAGGCCTGAATTTAACAAGTACAATATTGACTGTGACTGATATAGACCAAGCTTATGCCTCCGTCCCATAGAGCTCAATCATCCCAAAACTATTAAAAACGCATTAAAACGCCATACTGTTGCTGGGGTGATATAATCTTCCATTACAACGAATATGGCCAGTGTAGCTTCTGCTGGAACAAGTTAACCACTGCATATCTCTGGAGAGTAACTGTGAGAGTAAGAGTGTTGTGAAGACGTCAGTAAGCGTGCTGCAGCTGTAAAATGACTCACATTGTCAGACATTTATCCAATTGATCTAATACCATTTATATAATCCAGAATTTAAATTACTTTGCCGGTCTAATGCATTATTATTTGAGTTTTACTTCATTATTGATAGTAACATTTGACATGGATCCAAATACCGACCTAATCCTCTGTCTCTCAGACGTAAAACCAGCACTGACAACAAATAAAACATTTCTATTGCGATCACGAGACATTTTGGACGTCTGTACATATGCTAGCTTGGTGATCATAAGTATTTCATGCTTATAGTATATATGCAACAAAAACACACACAAACCCCCTCTGCCTCTAACAACTGATTCAGCACAGTAAAGCCTGGCAGCAGCTCCTCCTAACCTGCCAGCTACATATCGTGACTGAGGGAGCAGCCATAATTCTCTGGCCATGATGAAATCCCTTTATAATAGTAGCAGTAGCATACAAGGTTTCTTCCTGCATGAAGATAAGGCATAAATAAGCCAGGAAGCTGTGCACATGTGCATGTCTGAAGGTGTACATTATTGTCTGCTTTTCCACATCAGGATTTATCTACCCACCTCCCTACAACAGAGGTAATCTGAAGGATGGAGATCCAAAATTGCTGGGCCAACAGTAAAATAATGTCAGGAAAAGTGACTGAGCAACAGTTTTTGCTCACCAATAACCCCAAAGCTGCTGAGTCAGCATTAAAAGAAAATGCACTGGGCTGGAAATGCACTTGAATCAATGTGAGTTGGCATTGTTACAAATATGTTTTTTTGTCATCCAGACAGAATGAATATTAGAGACGGGCAAGAATAATGGCAGGGTTATCTCATGACCAAATGGAGCTATGTGCAGCTATTAGATCATGAGAAAATGACTTGCATTCTAGGTTTGATTATGACCACTCAGCTATTTGTCATTGAGGCAGTGTGAGCTAAGATACGGTAGACCACTTGATACAAGATGCTCCATGTGTCTTTGCTGTTAAAAACCCTTTTTACAGCTATCTGTTTGGCTGTCACTGAAAGCCACTCGCTTGAGTTGTGTTTCAGGACAAACAAATGGGGGAGATTTTCTGGGTTAAGTGTGTGAAATCCTCAGCCAAGGACACAATGTCACCAGACCAGGTGCTCACTGCAGCATTTGCAGAGCAATAGCGCTGAATATAAGAGGATGCTCTGCTGTATTTCAGAAGTGATCTACAATGCTGAGAGCTCAAACCTAAAAACAGCTCCATACCACTCAGATTTGAATTTGGACCCTTCAAATGTAGCAACTGTGCGTGATGTACTGACAGAGGGAACTATTCCTCTGTGTTGTGCCTGAAGTTGTCTCCAATTGCTTTTACATCACAGTGGTTGTTGTAACACCCACATGCCATGGCCAGCAGGCTGCATCACATGAACTTATATCAGAGCCAATTAGAGGTACAGCTGCTGGGGGTGAACAAGAGACGTAACTAGCTACTATAGGCCAAATGTAAGCTGAATATACGTGGTTTTAAAGAATATTTAAATGACCCTTCTAGGTTGTGTGAATATTCAAAACATATGCAGGTCTCAACCGTGCGGGAGGAATAGTGACACAAACTGGGCAGTCCATATGGTGAGAGCAAGTTGAATCACAGATCAAGGAGAGCAAGTGGTGATAGGACAGATTGTGGTGCAGTGAGTGTCAGGGAGCAGAGTGCTTTTCCGTCATGTCAGTTATTTCTTGTTCATGGAGTTGTTCAGCCTGCCAGTGTGTCCAGAGATAGGACTAGCAGTGGGCATGGTCCCCTGCTGACTGACTTAAAAATAGCGGGAAATATGATGTTGAACCCCGATTTTAAAGCTGTCATTACAGTAGGACAAAGGTAACGAAAAAAAATACAATCCTGCGATCGAATTCTTTCTTATAGCAAAAATGTTATAAAAAAAGGTTTAGTGTGTACAGGCCGCTTAAGTATTCTGGAGGATATCAAACGCCTTTGTTCAAACACAATAACATTCAGGTGACATAGCATGTGCTAATTCAGCAAAGCTAAATGTAGCTTCTGTTCTTCTCACTCCATCTGCTTGACTACTTCCACAAGGCTGTCCAATAAAACAAAATTGAATGAGTAAAAAGAGTGGTAAAAACAATCAGTGACGCCTGGATAGCAGCAGAATGAGCATTAGATGAGGGGTGTTTACACTGCACTGCAGTCTGCCAGTGCGGGAGATATGGATGGTAGAGTGGCTTAGCAAGGCTGAAAGAGGGTCTGCAGTCAACAACATTTGGAAAAAGCCTGGCAGGCACGATGCCCTGGGACAGCTGAAGTCACTGTTAGCTACACTAACTGCAAATCTCCTCTATTGACGTAGAGCTAGATTATGCCACCTTGTCCTGCTGTGACTGAAAGATTTACGCATAACACAACAATCATGGTGGTAATAGAGGCTCAGAGGCAATGAGGCTTGAGGAATTACACATCATGATCAGACAAAGGCTTTAGCACTAATCTCTGCTCCCAAATCCCATTTTCATTTGCCGCAAGTCTGCCATAGCAACAAGATCTATTGATCAATTTACAGTGGTGAAGAACTAACACCGTAAACTACATGTAAGTCTGTCATCACATACAGATACAAAATGTGATGCAATTCTTGCAATGAAGGTTTAATAAAAGCTCTCAGACAAGATTGAAAGGCTGTGTGACAATGCCTCAATTTGAAGTCTGTACCTCCCGTCAGACATTATGTGCTGAGATTGACTGCTGAGAATCAACTTCTAAATGCCTCTGCAGGAAGAGTCAGATGCAACAAGCCCGCCTGAAGTGATAAAGCTTTAAAGGAAAGTCACAGAAGTAGTTCATCGCCTTGTATTTTAGAATTTCGGAGAAGACTAAATTGCACATTTATCTCTCGTGGCTCATTTTATTTTGAGGTTAGACTGCTCAGAGAATATGTGCACATTTACTGAGTTATATATTTATAATTTGTTAAAGTATCACTGCAAATACTCCGAGATGTATTCATGTGAGAGCAAATGTACCAATGTAACAAATTGACCCACCTTATATTAAAAATAGCATTCTTCAATTCCAAGAAGACAATACATTTGGGGAAAACTAAACTTAAACAATGACCATTTGTATTTTTCACCCTGTGTTACCTACTGTTTGTGAAGATTTGTTTTTCTTTCTTGCATATCTCCATTGTAAAGAAAGGATAAAAAACTAATATATTTTGTATACCTTTTTCGATACTTAGTTCACAGAGGAAGCATGTAAGAAACAAGATTGATGTGTAACACAGGCTGAGTTATTACAAATATACAAATCATTTTGTGGGTGGAGTATTCCTTAAATGTACATAGAGCAGATAAGTGACAAACAGCAAAGTGTTGCCGTTACCCCCTCAAGAGTAAAACTTTCTTCACTTTCCTATCCCGTTTCCACAGCCCATCGTCCCAGCATTCCTCAGCTCGTCTCCCTAAATACATCCAGTACACAGACACACCAACACGGGCACACACAGGCACCAGTGTGCCCAGGCTCCACTGTTCAACACAGGCCTCTTTCATACCGTGGTCAGGCAAACAGCTCGCACACTGCAGGTGCTCTACATGGGCTGGGTCAGAGGGGCCCTTTGGAAAGGACTTTTACTCTTGTTTTTACGCTGATGATTCATAAACATTTCCAAGATGTGGAGAGAGTGGAGTGCTCTAAGATTGCACTCCTGTCAAAGCTATGATGGGCTTTTAGACAAAAAATAAATAATATAAATGGTACAAATTCTGCATAATGATGTTACTCAGCAGGGTGGGCGCAGCCTGTGAGTCTGAATGCTGTACACAGTATGCTCATTCATATTTGATAGAAGCACAGGCTTCTGACAATCCAAAAAGGAAATCAACGTTAAGTAGCATGGCTTTGGGGGTTTTGGTTTTCCTGTTGTCTGTATCAGCAGTGTTAAGGCGTATCCGGCAACTTTAGTGTATTGCACCTTGGCACATTTGAAAAAAAGCTATTTGGGTGTATCACTGTCATAAAGATAAAAGGGGTGAGTAATGCAGT